GGATTTTCACAACTATTTTTACAATCGATCGAATTTATGCCCATATTGATTCCACATTAATTTGGAGGCGGTTAAAGCTGCTATTTTTCTTTGCAAAACGAAAAACTGTTTGTTACTAAGCAAAATCTATTTTTAAATCTACAAAATAACTTGTTAGGTACCTCCAAAACATGTCGTTGTATGTTAATATTATATCATCGTGTCCATAATACTATAATCACAATAATAACCCAGTTTTCAAACTGGAACATCTGTTTTATGAGAAATTAGATAATGAACAAACAAACATTTAGAAAAAATATTTTTTTGTATTGGCTTTGTATCCTATTGGTTGAGAATCAAATCTAGGACTACATTTACGCAAAGCAACGTGCCTATCACTACACTTTAGTTCTAGATTACTAAACCACAGACTAGAGGAGGGGACAGGTCGACATCCACTCAGTTCCACCTGGAAACCATCGTGGTCTATTCTTATGGAATACGCCACGGTGGGCTAACTGATCCGATTTTTTTCTCACCTATCATTCACTGGTGCCACGCCAGCATATTCCGATAACGCATATGGGATTACCATTCCATTCTTCTTCAAAAAAAAAACCATAGACTAAAATCATTATCCAACATGTTCATCGAGTTTGTGTTAGGTAAATCCCCGGCAGACAATGCTCGCTTTGGCGTAATAAAAAAATACAAAAAAAAAATTAAGTTGCTATTTAATTATATTATTTAAAGATAAAAAGGTTTTGATGATAAACAAAGACCGTTCTGCTATTTTAATTTGTTGTTACCACGTCACGTGGTAATGCTATTAGTCATCGCCTGATAATACCACCTTATCAATTACAAATGTACACTTTTGCATCAGCTTCTTACTCGACAATCACATTTTACGAGTCAATCGTCGTGTGACTCAATCATGCAAGGTTTTTATAAGATTTTATAAGTCGAATTAGTTCAATCAATGAATAGATTGATAACGAACCAAGGGCAGTGTTTTTTTTTTCTTAAGGGCTTTTACCATCTTCAGGTATATCAACCCTATCATACCCTCAACTGGTTTCTCAAGTTTTTAACGGGTGAATTGGAATGGTGACCCCAACTGCGCTATCGGCATATGCTGGGTATCAGTGGGAGATGATAGGTGAGGATGAAAGTAAGTCAGTTGGCCCGAAGTTATGACGAATTCATCGCGAATTAATCACGATGGTCTCCAAAAGAAACTATGGATCATTTAACTAGTTATCACAGGCGGGCCGTATGCTTGATCACTGCCTTTGATTTAAGAGACTAAGTTGCGGCGTGTTACAACAGACTTTACTCTTTATGTTAAAAAAATGGGGGTAAATACAAAAGAAAACGCAATTGTTCTAGTAGTTTCGTTCCCACGTTTGGTATTGTCTTGTAATAAAAATGACCTGAACAAAGCGACCAGTGTTGTGTACAATTTTTAAGATTAACAATATTCAGAGAAAACCTGGCAGGCGGCCGGTAGTAAAACTATAAGCTAAATCCTTTTGTAATATGGCTAAAACCATATATATTACGCCGACCCCAAATAATAATTGGGATAAGGGTAGGAAGGTGATGATGATGATTCAGAGAAAACCAGTAAACTAGAATATTTTAAGTGTATTGATTTATCGGTCAAAATAAATAGTTTTCTATGCATCTACCTTCACGAACCTAAATCAGTAAGCGAGAAGCATAGGATGAAGGGACGCAGACATAACTTCGCTTTGGTAAATATCTGTTATTACTCATATTCAGTAATTGGCTACGTAGTAATGTATTGTAATATCTATATATATATTAGTTACAATATCTATATACTGGGAGGAAAGGGATTGTTAATGATGGAGACTGAGAATCCCAACTAGCAATATACCCAACCAGGTCTACCTCCACGCGGTTTCATCTAGAAACTATCATGGTTAATTCCTGATGAATTCATCATGATGGGCTAACTGGCCTGTTTTCATTCTCATTTATCACCCTTCACTGGTGCTCCGCCAGCGTATTCCGATAGCGCAGCCGGGGTTACCATACCATTTTCATCCATAAAAAAAAATGGGTATAATCATACACTGGTATAAGTTGGGCAACAGCGTCCCTCTTAAAACATCTCCAAAGCCTAACTGCGGTTGCCAATCCGCCTGCCAAGCGTGGTAACTACTGGCAAAACCCCCCAAGGGGGAGGCTTATGTTAAACAGTGGACAGTTAAAGGTTGAAATGATGATGTTAAGTTGTATTTTACTTAAATTAGTACGTAAAATGAAATATCGAACGGACAAAGTAACAGGATTCAATATAACAACAAGAACATACAGACAATAATATAATAATTTTATATACCTACATAGTATCACAGCGGTGATGTGAGGGGAGAAGTCAGTAGCAGGAATATAATGCCTGACCTCAATATCAACTTATAAGTGTGACTATGGCACTGAATAAAACAAAAGTGCATTTAAATTGTGAAAAAAAAAACTTCAGACGTGACAAACCATCGATAAACGACGAGATGTTTATAGCAAGATTGTGAATATTTGAAAATAGAACATGGAATTGTGTCTATTAGTAAATTTCACTTTGCACAAATGTATATTTTCGCTTCGCAAACAAAAAAGGCAGCTTTAAACATTGCAAAATAACATGGAACCAACACGGGAGTAAACCCTGTCCAGTGCAAAAAGAATTATGAAAATTATTTTCCAAATTGCCAATATTTCATTCACGTGATACAGCTATAAAAAAAAACATATGAAATCAGAATTTCCTCTCCATTTGTTTTAAAAGTGTCGCTGTATATTCTAATATTATAAATGCGAGAGTGAGTTCGTTTGTTATGTTTTCACGTCTAAACCGCTCAATACATTATGATAAATTTTGGTATAGAGATAGATGTAATCCTGGAGACGACTCTAGGCTACTTCTTCTTGTGAAAAACTTAAAAGGTTACCCCTTAAGGGTACGGGAGAGGTGATTTTTGTATGAAACTTTTTATTGCGTCGTCCGTTTTGCTTTAAACTTTCAGAAAGTCATAGTCTATGAGTTTTCACTTGAGAATAAACAGTATTTTCACTAAATCCTTATTAATTTTATTAATGTAAAAGTGAGTTTGTTTGTTACCTTATAGAGCCTAAACTGCTTAACCAATCACTATGAAATTTGGTATACACGCACTATATGAGATGGAGAACGAGATAGGGTACTCTTTATTCCGGTCAGTAAACATATCTCGATTACGCGTACAAAATCGCGAGTAAAAGCTAGTACAATACAAAACTAAAAGTCTATTCACGCTATATATATATATATATATATATATATATATATATATATATATATATATATATATATATATATATATATATATATATATATATATATATATATAATATATATAAAAAGATTTGTTCGAATGCGCTAAGCTCTGAAACTACCAATAGGATTTGATAAACTCTTTTTGAATTTCATAGCTCATTTTTTCAGCAAGATTCTAAGCTATTCGACATCACAATACGGCCACGGACGAAGCCGCAGGATAAAGACTGTAGAATAGATGTTTCGTGAATCGGAAATGTCAACATTTTGCGACCTATTTATGGATAAAAAATATACCATAGTAGAACACTCCTTTAAAAGGATACCAAAAATTTAACCCCTTATTCATAAAAACTAAAAGCTTATACATATCTATTTTAACCATTACACTGTCTTTACACTTTCAAATTTGGAATTGAATTGAAAAAAAGGAATAAAACAGTTCAATAGCTAAAACAGGTTTATGAGATGTTTAACATTTATATGAATAATTGGGTTAAATTCCAACCCCTTATTAGCATCTCTAGCTGGACTCGGTGTCCGTGACACATTCGGTGATGTCACCACTAGAGCCAAAAAGTTTCTAATACCGATATTTTTTAGCAAACGACATTGCAAATACTGCTGATCGTTATTTCAAGGTCAATACGGCATTAGCTACGGCACAGCAATGTACCTATTTATTTTACGTAGATCTATTTGGCGTTTTTCCTACGAACAGTCCACGGATAGACCGTGCTGGAGAAGTCTAGTCTTCGGAAACGGCCAGTATGTACGAGTTATGAATATGGATGAAAGAAGAATAAATGTCTCTAGCTATAATGTACAAAAGTTTTATAACCTAACATAGCCACAAAAAATGCAAACCAACTGAAATTTTCTTTTAGTAGCAAAAAATGCTTTTACAAATTCCCACAAGATAGGGAAATAACACGAGTTCATTGGACGAGGGAGCTACCTATACCTAGGTATGGAACTTTAAAATTTAAAGAGTAGAGACATTTTGCTTTTTATTATTTTTACTCTAAGAAATATTTTAATGTTTCATTTTTATCAAAATAGTACTAAAAATACGTTCCTATCTAGAATGCCACACATTTATTGATTCTGCACTTATCGTTATCAGCACGCCTACCTTGGGTGTGGGTACTACAGGCATTAGTCTTTGTACCCTTTTATAATACTAGTAACCTTGCCAAGGGCCCAAAAATTTATAGGGCACTAGCAGTCATAAGAATTTATTGAATCATCACAAATTATAGAAATAATTGTGATAAATTTTTATGAAAATATTTAAAACTGTTATTGGTTCGAACACATCTGTTTCTGAAGAAAGGTAACTCAAAAACAAAGTGTGTAATAATGATATCAACTGTATTAATATATTAACGTTTATAGTATTCAGCAGCTTATGCAATCTATGTATTCATATTGATAATTAGATATTTATCACTATTCAATTATTTAATTTATGGACAAGATTTAAGGATTTCAAGAAGGTGATTAGAATGTGAAATTGCACTATTTCACTAAGTAATTACTTAGTATTTATGTATTAATTACTTAGTAGGTAATTTCATAGTAATAATGATTTACTGAATGCACGAAACATGTGTGTAGAGCAACTAGACAATTGTGTGATGTTCAGCTCGCAGTATTAAACAAAGAGGAATTGTACACAGATCTGAATGATTTTTATTTTGACAAAATATGTACACATCCTCACAGGTGACTCCAAAGTACTATAAAAATAGTTATCAAGCTTACTTAGCTTAAGAAACATGGATATTGATGAAGCATAACTTTACATGTAAAACACGGGAATGTAGTCGGTGTAACTGAGCATAAACGGTAGGAATCACTTCACTCACTGGAGTCAGAGCTTTGGTACCTTGTAAATGCGTTCACCGCAATGCTGCGGTGCAGCACAGCACTGAGAATCACACGCTGGCCGCCCGGCCGGCCTTCGCCGCTAGCTAGAGGGCGGCTGACTCGGGCGCCATCAAAGGCGCAAGCGGGCCCGCCACGCGCCGGCCGTGCTCCACCTCGAACCGAAGGTCCACCGGTGACGGCCGCCTGTTGCCGCCCACCGTGCCATCCTCGGGCAGGAACGCCGCCACTAACAGAGCGCATATTACTAGCAAAGCGCCTAGTACGAATGGTGGTCCCGGCACAATCCGCTCATTCTCTTGGCCTGGTCGCTGATGTTCCTCATTCAAATCTACATGGAATAAGTAAAATATGACCCCGAACATGGCGGGACCCAGGCCGTTACACAGTCCTCTGACTCCTGTCACCATACCCTGTACCACTCCCTGACGGTCGGCACGACTGTTCACTGACACATAAGCACTGATGGCAGGGTATGTGAGCGAGCCGAGCGCCGCCAGGACGCCCGCCGCCCACATCATCCATGTACGGCTTCCGAAACCGTACCACATTAGTTGCAACATCTCAAACAGTAGTCCCACCATTATAGTGTGTTTAGCTCCGAGTGATCTCATCAAAAATCCAAGTACCACTTGCACACCGATACTGAGCACTCCTACAATTGCAATGAATATCGCCACTTGCACTACACCAAAGCCCATCACAAGTTTCAGATACACAAATATGCATGAATACTGTCCGGCCTCTGGTAAGTATGATAAAAACACAGCCACACACAACATTAGCACTGTACGCTCTGCACCAACTTTCCTGAGGGCGGCGAATGGATCTGCTTGTTCCCAACTAATAGCAGGACCCCAGCCGCTAGGCCTTACTTTCTCTGGTAAACTCTCTGGGACGGCTACCATTATGAAGAATACGTCGAGAACGGCCACAGCTGTAGCGGCGGCTACGACCAGAGCTTCACCATAGAGATCCATTAGGTACGCGCCGAGGGCCGGCGATATGACCATACTGGCTGCAAACGTGGCCGACACGAGACCGTACGCGCGCGACCTCTCAGCCTCCGTCGTCACGTCGGCCACGTACGCGAACACAATCGAAAACGTCACCGCGAAGACACCACTGATGCTGATCATAGCGAAAAACCACCATGTGTTGATTGTCATTAGAGGTATCGGCGCACATGTGAAGAATACAGTCACCAGCAGGAAGAATTTGCGGCCCCACACGTCGGAGAGTGCGCCGATTAGAGGTGCGGACAGAAACGACAGGATGCCCTTGATTCCCATGATTAATCCGTTCATTAGGAAGGTATGATCCGGGAAGGTCGCATTCAGCACAGATATAATAGGCATCGTGAGCAGGCCCCACGCGAAGAATTCCAAGAAAATCACCACTAATGCGTGGAAGACCGAAGGATCGCCGATTCCCGACATTGTCATAATACTGTCTTTCATAACAGTTTTCCTGTTCCGTATCACCATTTCTACTTCAGTTGTTGTTGTCTTCGTGGGCGTCATTTACGATTTAATTTGGATTTCCCTACTAAACTACTTATAATAAGACATTATGGAAAGCTTAGTGCTACATGGAGAACTCAGTAAGTTGATGAAAACGAGCAAGTAGAAGCAACGTCAAAAAACCACTGAAAATTGAAAAACAACTCAATATTTCTGTTGCCATTTTATATGACAAAATATGTACAAATTTTTATTAATATAAAATATTGCGCATTTTCCTTCATGTAAACGGAAAAATTAAATTAATATTTGTAATTGTAAAACATACTAATGCTTTTTATTTAATGACAACAATATTTAAAACATTATTAAATTTTTTTGAACTTCGATTCATTTACAAAATGTTACATTACATTCTACCAATACATTTATTATTTTAAAATAGCAACATTGGAAGTAATATTTTTTTTTTCTCCATAGACACCTTTTGTTATATATTATGGCAAACAATACAAAGAACAGAATTAAGCAATTTTTTAAAAAGGCTTAAATATGTCTTTCCATAATCATAAAATTTAAGTCAATGAAAAAGATAATTCGGTTAAATGCCAAAAATAAATAATAGTTGAAAATTATGAATTCCGATGCAAAATATTGATAAGTATTCAATGAAAAACAGCAATGCAGTGTTGAACTGTCATTGATTTTTTTGACGTAGGCAGCGTATCTGTCAATTGTCAAAATAAAAAAGTTAAAGTAGGCGTCTACCAGTCTTATTAAAATAAACTCTTAATTATTTCGAAATAATGGTATAAATATACAACAGTTTTCATTAACACTAATAATTAATTAAGTACACAGCATGATATAGTTAATTATTAATTTCAGATTCGGTTCATTTTGATTCAAAACCGTGCGGGCAAAACTCGATTGGCAAAATGGTATATGAACTTCGATGATGACGAGAAACAGAAGCTCATAGAGGAAGTACACGCAGTGGTCACGGTTCGAGACGCAAAGCATACTAATTTTGTGGAAGTGAGTTTTCAATAACACCAGTGATTATGCATAAATTTCGGGTTACCCACTGATTTTTAATTAACTGCGATTTATTTCAGTTTCGAAATTTCAAAATTGTATACAGAAGATACGCGGGACTGTACTTTTGTATATGCGTGGACGTGAACGACAATAACTTATGCTATTTGGAGGCGATCCATAACTTTGTAGAAGTTTTAAATGAATACTTCCATAATGTATGTGAGTTGGACCTAGTCTTCAACTTCTATAAGGTGAATATTTTTCTAATAAGTATATTGGTATAATTCAACATATTCATGTATACATTTGTTGAAACTGCTCTTATTGATAATTGGACGCATATTATAGGTATACAGTGAGAGTATTAAAAAAATATTTTGCATAAAATGTTTATAAAATTCTCTGACACTTTCACGATAGCCATTTTTTTTATACAATTTCGAAAGGTATAATTGTTGACTGAGGGAAAGCATGAACCTTTACTTTCAAATTGAAAAATTTACCACCTCTTTATGGTACAGTCAATCCAACTGCCATTGGCATATTTAAGATTATATTTATTTAGGCCTCTTAAAAAAAATTTATACATACATGAGATGTTTTTGTGAAACCTGTAGTGAGCACCAGATAATTCTATGGTTGGTACGGCCCACCCAGCTAAAATTATTTGGTTAATTAGCAAATATTCGTATGAGTGTGAAACAATATATAGTGTTATTATGTGTTAAGTTAGGATTAATCTACTTATGTATCAAATTTAATTCAAACCCATTCAGCAGTTTATAAACTTCCACATTTAGAATATTAGTAAAAATAATAATGTGGTGATTATTACTTTATACATGTATGTTATTAATGTAATCTATCAATTTAGAACTGATGGGGCTTACAATCACTGACTTAGTCGAATTTGTGTATTTTATAGTTACTTATTTGTAATTTTTATATTGCAGGTGTACACAGTAGTGGACGAGATGTTCCTCGCTGGTGAGATCAGGGAAACCTCACAAACTAAAGTATTGAAGCAACTTCTCATGCTCAACTCTTTAGAGTAAATGTTCTCAGGTGACGCATTGTTTGTGGTTAAAAATTATAAATACAATGTTATAATTGTTACTTTATATAAAACAGTAAATTATAGCATTTACCGATTGTAATGCTCTCAAAATAATGAGGATGGTAGAGGAGTCCTCAATGTGTTGGTGTATGAATGAGATATCTTAAAGTATAGAGTTTAAGCTATATTAATAATATATAAAAATATTCAAATTGTATCATTAAGTTGTATGTAATGAGAGAGTAAATATAATGCAACAAAATATTGAGCTCCAAAAATCTTTCCACATGTAAATTTTAATATTTCCTTACTACTGGACAAGAATTATTAAGGTGTCCATATTTGTTGTCAGACATTGTGAAGGCAATAGATTATATAGGCTTGCAGCAACTTGATAAATGTATACCAGACCTTTTAAATATATACTTACAAACCTTTATTATTTTTGTCAAAAATTGAAATTTTCCCATTTTCTTAGATGCTTCTGTAACTTATATATTGTTAGAGTTTAAAATTTATCATCATGCATTATCGGCATATTTTTGCCCGTCAGAAACAAAACATCTTGACTGTTTTGATGTCTTTACAGGAATATGTTTAAGCTATTTCAAGAATTTTATTCTTGGCAGAAAGTTCCTTGTCTATGAAAATATTATTTTGAATTTAGCCATTTAACATTATAATCTATGATGTGAATTGTACGCATTATATTTTAACTTCAAGAATAATCAAGATTTTTACATGTATTTTTGTTGCTATATATATTCTACTCAAGCAATTTCGACAAAAATAAATGTAAACCAATCCCATTATTCTTACAATTCACTAAGCATTTGTATATAATACGTTTACGAAATATTACACGGCATAAGAATGCAATCAAACACATGTAATTGTAAAACACGGTTTATTTATCAAATATAAAATGTAAATCTAGTATAAATCTCTTAGATTGGCTACCTTACCGATTTGAATATATTACTCAAATTATAACCGTATTTTTGTCTACCTTCAGTAATATTCAGTAGTAGTCTAGTAATATTTAAAAATGATAGCAATCTATAATTTTTAAATATTACTTGAAATATATATAAAAGACTAGGTGTAAATTTATTATATATTTTATACCACAGTCTTCTAAACTTTATTGAGATTATCTACTTGTAAATCGACTTCAAAAACAAATTTCTCTTTTTTTTCTATCTGCAATCAGCTATTTTTAGTTATAACCGGATCTGGTGTATATAAATCATGGACATTAGGAGATGGAGCACATCAAATAAATTATTTGAGATGGCATTTCAATTTCACTTTCAAATTTGATTGGGAAATTTTAAATCAGCTATGATACTTTTATGGACAATACAAAAAATGGAATGTTTTGTTCTATCTATCACAGTTTCATACAGATATAGACATAATTTTTATTAAAATTCCACTCGCCTGGTTCTCAAGCCAGGAAATCAGGGTACCCCCGTGTTATGGTGGAAGCAACCCAGAACACCTAGTCCTAAACTAATTCAGAACAAGCCCTGAATTGAACCCGGGATCTCAATTGCGCAAAGTAATGTGTTCACCACTGCAGAAGTTGTCAAAAAATAGTAATATAAGCATATTTTTTTTTATACTACAATAAATTTGGTACCACAGTCGTATAGAATAGACGGTGACGGCCTTGAAACTCGTGTTATGCCTGTTACGTCAATAGTTGCACTGATTATTCACGCTTCAGTATATCTTTTAAAACTTACCACAATACTGGAAAATATAAATAGAATATGTTTTTGTTTCTTGATTAATGAGTCAACCAATATGTAATGATAACAGTCAATATTGCATACTACTCGAATGAAACGATATTAATAATATAAAAGTTTTGGACTTCTATTAGGAGTAAAGCAGGGGTCGTAGACTCCTAGAGGACCTGCTTTACCCCTTATAATGCCTGGCCTCCCGAGCTATTACAGTTTTTTACCAATATCTCCTTCGCAGCAACAGTATCCTTTCCTTTTTCCCTATAAATCCTTCATTTTTCCACTTTCTTTATTCTTTCCCAACGTTCCGCTCATTTCTCTTTAAAGCTTTCCTCCATACCATAGATGGCAGATAGTATCAACAGATGCATTCCCGAGGAAGGTTTTATATCAGACAGGTGACCGGTCATAAAACCAAAAGCCTAACCAAGCCAAACAGTAATAAATAAAATAATATTACACCAACCCCAAATAATGGAAATAAGGACAGGACGATGATGATGACTTTAGATTTCTATTACTATTTATTTTATGGGAATTGAACCACAGAAATATACAAAAAATATCACCATGAAATACTTGATATGTATAACACATATAACATAATTATCCTTCACTGGGTACATGTCACTCAGCTAAGTAGGTCGAGATAAAGCTCAGATCCAGCTACGCCCACTCCCAGCGGTGGAGCTCAGGCGGGAACATCCACAGGTCGGGGTGGCCTATGTGCGTTATGTGCGGGCCCATGTCGAACTCGCTCCATCTGGATGCAATAAATATAAAATACTTGAATTACACGTACACAGTACGTCTCCATAAGAAATAGATAATTTATTTACACTACATCAGCACACAAATAACGGCATAAACATTCCAAAAATAAAGAAAAAAAAAACATAAAAAGTGACATAGATTATTTCTTTTTTTTTCTTCATGTGTGCTCCAGATTGGCACTCCTGATCACTGACGATAGGAACGACATACTGTTTTTTTTTTTTAATCTTTTCAAATTTTTAAATTCTATCATGACATAAAAGTATAGATAGGTCGTCATGTATTTAATATGTACAAAGTGCTTTAAAGAAATTTTATCAGTCGATCTCAAGTCCAAATAGTAACGACGATGACGCAGGGGGAATCAATAAAAAATAGCTAATTTTAAATGAGTACAGTGAGTAGTATACTGACGCGAAGGGCGGCACGCCCCTGGAGATGTCGTGCGTGGGGCTGGCGACGGCGACGAACTGGTGCGCGGTCCGCAGCTGCGCGCTCGTCACCTTGGCGTCGGTGGCGCCGTGGCTGCGGTGGCCCAGCGTGCTGAACGGGTACGTGCCTGCCGCCGGGGGACAACGGTTATACTGTTATAGCCTCATGTATTATTGAAGAAAATCATAAGAATAATGTAGGAATAATAATAATAACATAATAACCTAATAAATACTGTATCACCCATGATATCCTTCATGTATTGCTATTCCTGAGGACTAAGGTGTTATTCCTCTGTACCCTGTAATTTCACTGCCATATCCCACCATTCAAACGAAACACAATCATGCAAACATAACTGCTTCATAGTAGAAACACGAATGGGACAGAGGTGCCCAAGCAAACGACTTTTGTACAAAATCTCTGGTTGTCTGACCTCTGAGTGTGGCGCTAACTACCAGAGGGAGATTGTACAAAAGTCGATTGCTTGGGTATCTCTGTCCCATTCGTGTTTCAACCGTAAAGCAGTTGTTTGCATGGCTGAGTTTCGGTTTAAAGGGTGGGATATGGCGTGAATTTACTGGGTACAGAGGAATAACACCTGAGTCCTCAGGAATGACAACGCATGGGGGGTATCATGGGCGTAACAGTACACTCTGTTATGTCCATGATACTGCTCATGTCTATAGGCGACAGTTACCACTTTCCATCAGGTGGGCCGTCAGCTTGTTTGCCATTCTAAGTTGTATATATAAAAAAAAACTAGTAATAACATGAGATAGGTGAAAATCATTGTTGATGGGGGAAAGGGATTTTTAGTAATGAAGTCTAATAGCCCCATTGTTAGCAATATAACCCTCTCAGGTCGACCTCCACGCGGTTCCGCCTGGAAACCATCATGGTTAATTCTTGTCGAATTCATCATGGTGGGTCAAATGACCTGCATTCATTCTCACCTATCATCTTCCACTGGTGCCTCGTCGGTGTATACCGATAGCGCAAACAGGGATACCATTCCGTTTTCATCCATTAAACAAAAATAGCCTCATTGCTAGCAATATACCTTTTTAGGTCGACCTCCACGCGGTTCCCCCTGGAAAACATCATAGCGCGAACGGGGTTACCATTTCATTTTCATCCATTAAAAAAAAATCACCGTTGGCGGGATTGAGATCGTTCCTGGCGGCGATGGCGTTGCAGGCGCTGTACGGCGGGCGGCAGGCGGCGCACCGCGACAGCGGGTCGTGCTTGTAGTCGTTGTAGCGCATCGTCGCGTACATGCCGCGCAGGTCGCGGATCGACGCCTAGTAAATGATAAAAAAAAAAATATAAAAATAAACTTTTTGAATTTTGGTCTTAAAGATGTCGAATATCGATCTCATTACTTCAAAATAAGTATCAATTACTGTTTTAAAACATGAATACATTCAAGTAAATATATGTAAAGTTTTACTTTAAATATATTTATATTTCAGTAAAAAAGTATAAAAAAACATTTAAACTGTATAAGAGCTGCTCTTTTACTCTGCTACTTGATAAGAAAAAAAAAACTGTGCAAGTTTGTAAAGATGTTTCCATATTCAAATGTTTGTAGTTTAAATATGCTTCGACTAAATAGATTTGTTTGTAATTTTTTTTTATATAACATAGAATGTCAAACAAGCTGACGGCCCACCTGATGGAAAGTGGTAACCGTCGCCTATAGACATGAGCAGTACCATGGACATAACAGAGTATACTGTTTCGCCCATGATACCCCCCCCCCCCCCCCATGCATTGCCATTCCTGAGGACTCAGGTGTTATTCCTCTGTACCCAGTAAATTCACGCTATATCCCACCCTTCAAACCGAAACATAGCCGTGCAAACACAACTGCTTCACAGTAGAAACACGAATGGGACAGAGGTATTTGGAATACAAACATATAGCCTGCGTCAATACAGGGTACATATCATTCTAATTAACACGGACAAAGTCACATACATATATGTCACACCTGTCTCCTATCGCAGTAGGATCTAGCATAGTATTTAAGATCATTTACTTTACATTCAATTGATATTGATATTCACAACGATAGTCACTCTGTATACATACATACATACATATCTGTCACGCGTGTCTCCCATTAGGGTAGGCAGAAACAATGGAACGCCAAATGCTTCGATTCAAACAAACCTCTTTCGCTTCTTCCACATTCATCAATCTTTTCATACACGCTCTTTTCGCTCTGTATTCATGGGTAAATTAAAATGATGATGTACCTCGCCATTGCATTATATTTATTTATAATTTATAATAATTTATATACAATTTATATTATGTTATTATTCATATTGTTAATATTTTTACTTATTTAATGACATTTAATAATTTAATTCTATTTTAATGTTTATCAAACACAAGGCACGCTGTGGTCGCCTATAAATGTAAGAACAGTTAGATCTAATCTACCAGTGTATTGTATTGAAATGTTTAGCTGTATCTTATGTTGGTAATCCTATAAATAAATAAATAAATATACTGCAATGAAAATAATCAAAAAAAATATTTTTCTTTTTTTTGTTAGGGGATTCAAAATGCATACTTAAAATTTCTAAATTTATCTACTTGTTTTACTTGTCTATGGTAACCCCGCCTGCGCGGGGTTACCATAGATAGACATACCATTTTCACCCATCAAAAAAAAAAACACGTTCATAGTGGTAGGTTGGTATAGTGTACAAATGAAATCTTGTCACCTGCTTCTGCTTGATGATCTTGGCCCTGGGGTTGGTGTGGTAGCCGAACCAGTCGCCGTGCGTCCGCACGCGCTCGTTGCCGCCGCTCATGTTGAATACGGCCGGGAAGTACGGGATATTGTACGACGGGAAGTACGTCGTGCTCACCAGCTGCTCAGTCCTGCAGGTAGACACGCTTTACTTCATTAACTGCTACTAATTATATTTACACGATGTCTGCATATGGAAGATTTAAAAAAAAAAATATAACTTTGCCGGCTCTTAAGACTTACTGGGTACAGAGGAATAACACCTGAGTCCTCAGGAATGGCAACGCATGGGGGGTATCATGGGCGAAACAATATACTCTGTTATGTCCATGGTACTGCTCATGTCTATAGGCGACGGTTACCACTTTCCATCAGGTGGGCCGTCAGCTTATTTGCCATTCTAAGTTGTATAAAAAAAAAACCAACAGAATCTTAAATAAATTATTAAGAAAGAGTCTGGCTGAATACTAGTTCCGTACAGCTGTACACATTTCACTGGGAAATTCGTAGCGTAAGCTGAGCCAGTTCTTTTTACCTAAATAGATAGATAAAGTCTTTATTACAAACAACAATAATAATAGTTCAAAAAAAAACAATAATAAAAAAGAAAAAAAAAAACAATTCATTTTGCTGGTTGCCGCCTCAGCTGTTGCTATATATGCACACCTCCAACGAGATGTACTTTTACTTTTTTTTTATACAACTTAGAATATCAAACAAGCTGACGGTCCACCTGATTGAAAGTGGTAACCGTCGTTTATAGACATGAGCAGTACCATGGACATAACAGAGTATACTGTTTCGCCCATGATACCCCTATGCGTTGCCATTCCTGAGGACTCAGGTGTTATTCCTCTGTACCCAGTAAATTCACTGCCATATCGCACCCTTCAAACCGAAACACAGCCATGCAAACACAACTGCTTCACGGTTGAAACACGAATGGGACAGAGGTACCCAAGCAAACGACTTTTGTACAAAGTCTCCCTCTGGTAAGAATGTGCCGACAATATAATGATCTTATGCTCAGCCACAAATTCATTGATATATTCGACATGAAGCTGTCATCATTCAGGGGGTGCGTGAGCCGTTTGGCATGAACTTGTACTACTTACTAGTATTTAGTGATGTAGTTCATGTTTAGGATGGCTGGGCTGTTTTTCTGTGTGGTGATAGTTTTATGAATGAATGCATGAATGAGTATACTTTATTTGCATTATACAATATAGGAAATAAGCAAGGCAGTTTACAAACACAACGATACAATTGTATAAGTACAGTGAGACGGTCTTATTGCTGAGAGCAATCTTTTCAAGACAAACTTAGGGTAATGGACTAATTGTTGTACAAGTATGTATGATAGTGCTGTATAATTAAAAAAGCATCTTTTGCAAATTAAAAATATACGAAAATTTAAGGTATAAAAGTTGTGGTATAGATTAACGAAAGATAGAGAAAAGTGGAAGGATCTTGAGGAGGCCTACGTCAAAGGACAAGCTGGAAAAGTCGATTAGAATTGTAGTGTTAAATGTTTGTAAAATGTAATACTTTCAGCAATAAAGGCTTATTATTATTGTTATTAAAATATGGTACAAAAGGCACACAGCCATGCAAACACAACTGCTTTACGGTTGAAACACGAATAGGACAGAGGTACCCAAGCAAACGACTTTTGTACAAAGTCTCCCTCTGTCTTCTGAAATTCACATGTACGAAGTAGAAGTAAAGGGCGAAGGGGATAACTCACAGGTCGGCCGCCTCCGTATACCCGGGCAGCTGCTCGATTATCCACAGCAGGCCGGGCTGCACGGAGCCCTTCGTGTTTGCCGTGCTCGCCTTGAACTTGTTGTAGTCCACTATGTACCTATAAACCACACAGGCAAGGGGGGGAAGAGATTGTCACTAATGGGGATTTATTTATTATTAGCGCCCCGTCCCGGCGTCGCACGAGTGGACGTTTTTACATTTTAAAAAGTGGCCATTAAGGTTATCCCACCCCAGAATGCGAGCATAACTTTGCAAAGAATTTTTTTATACAACTTAGAATGGCAAACAAGCTGACAGCCCACCTGATGGAAAGTGGTAACCGTCGCCTATAGGCATGAGCAGTACCATGGACATAACAGAGTATACTGTTTCGCCCATGATACCCCCCATGCGTTGCCATTCCTGAGGACTCAGGTGTTATTCCTCTGTACCCAGTAAATTCACGCCATATCCCACCCTTCAAACTGAAACACAGCCATGCAAACACAACTGCTTTACAATTGAAACACGAATGGAACAGAGGTACCCAAGCAAACGACTTGGGTATGTTTAAAATTACATATATGCTTTTTTTAAGGAACTATAACCTCCTCCCACTGGATTATTTTTTAAATACGCTGTTGAGCAGGCCTTATGTGTTACTGACACTGTTGGCAACACTGTAATTATTTTTTTATACGTCTAACATATGGCAACTCCGTTTCTTTCTCCTCTAATAATGCAATCGGTAACATCAACATACCGCTGCCGTTCAACCTGTTATATTTCCTTTTATTTATTTATTTAAATTGTAATACATAGGTAACAATAGATGGTAAAACAAGATAAATCCTCTATGATCAACTCCATATATCGAGGTATACAAGTTTGCAATTATATAAGAAAAAACAAATTATATTAAAAAAAAAATCAACAATGTCACATTTATATTAAAAAAATAAAATATTATGGAAATTTATTACATTTATCTTCAAGGAAATCGTCAATATAATTAATTGATGTATAATTAATGTAAAAACAACAATTAAAATAAATTAACCACTGTAAAGGAAGTTTCACTTCAGCAAGTACTCATGTACCATCCAGGCAGGGGACAACAAGCCCAGCAAGACACGTCCCGCACAGGCACTTTGGTTGTGTTCCAATTGCTATAAGTACTGACCACTGGTTGTTGTAGGTGCCGCTGTTGTGTCTCCGAAATATCTCGACCCACTCTTTGCCATTACGCGCCAAGCGGTTCGCCACCATCGCTCTCGCGTACTCCAGGATCTGATCATGAGTAGAAGTGGCATTATTATCAGGCTAAGATTATGTTACTAACAAATTTTTATTTATAAAAATTTTTATTTATAATTTTTTTTACTTCCATATCAGTAAAATAGACATTTTATCGAAATCAATTCACTAGTTTAATTTTAAAACCAGCATAACTAGTTTTACTGCCACAACACACAGTGTTTTTGTTTGTAGAACAAATTCTTGAATTACTATGCATTAACCCTTTTAGTGCCATTTATTTTTACTTATATCTACTTAAAAACGCCAAAGAAATCTCTATCGTGTTGATGTCATTTACCCTTGTCTCTAAAAAAAACTGTATCTCCTCCAAAAATTATCCAATTTTATTATATTTTTTTTTACAGCAAGCTAAACAGCGACTGATTTCACGAGCGCTATGACGCTCGTGGCGCTTTTAGTTGCAATGCGCACGAGCGCGATGCCGCTCGTCGGCACTCAAACGTCAACATCGAAGTGTGGCAATTTCTTTATATAAACATTGCATCAGCGTCTGGACGCACCTGGCCGACTGGCTGGACGAGTTTAAACAGTGTCCGATTGCTGTTGCCGATGGTCGTCTCGGCGGCCACCAGGCCCGATGATATTATGTAGAAATCGTCTGTGGACTGTCAACAAAGTGCGCCATTAGGTTAGCAGTAGGGTACGGTACAGAAATTACAGGATATGGGGAAATGGATTGCTAATAATGGGCTCTAATGTAGTATAGTATTATGTCTAATGCACGTGTTAGTAAAGAAGTTCTTTACTAACAATATACCCTATCAGGTCGACCTCCACACAGTTCCTCCTGGTAACCATCGTGATTAATCCTTATGGAATTCGTCACGATGGACTAACTGACCTGCCTTATCATTCTCACCTATCACCAGACGGAGACTTTGTACAAAAGTCGATTGCTTGGGTACCTCTGTCCCATTCGTGTTTCTACCGTGAAGCAGCTGTGTTTGCATGGCTGTGTTTCGGTTTGAAGGGTGGGATATGGCGTGAATTTACAGGGTACAGAGGAATAACATCTGAGTCCTCAGGAATGGCAACGCATGGGGTATCATGGGCGAAACAGTATGCTCTGTTATGTCCATGATACTGCTCATGTCTATAGGCGACGGTTACCACTTCAGTTCATCAGGTGCACCGTCAGCTTGTCTGCCATTCTAAGTGGTATAAGTAAATAAAATATTCACTGCTGCCCCAACAGTGTATACTAATAACGCAGATAGGGTTACCATTCTATTTTCACCTATAAAAAAAGTATACAGGGTATCGTTTCATCGGTTAACTGTCCACTGCTAAACATAAACTTTCCTCATAAGGGGAGTTTTGTCAGTAGTTGCTACATTTGGCAGGCAGATTGGCAAGCGCAGTTGGGTCTACAATTAAGTTCCCTTAGTCGCCTCTTATGACACCCACGGTCTCCCGTGGAAGCCTATCAACTCACATTAGTACCTTGCAGTAAACCAATAACGCAGGTGAAATTTCGATTCCATTATCATCCATAAAAAAAAATACCCGCCATAAACTAAAATTTCATCCCAACCATCTGGACGAGTGGCGGTCCTCCACCGTGCATTTTTTAAGGCACTTCCTCCCACGCACAACCACTCTTTGGAATCAACTTCCAGCAGCAGTATTTCCGAACCGATACGACAACATAACCTTCAAGAAAAGAGCATATTCCTTTTTAAAAGGCCGGCAGCACACCTGCAATGCCTTTAGTGTTGCGAGTGACCCTGGGCGGCGATAGTCACTTTACCATCAGGTGAGCCGCATGCTCGTTTGCCCCCTGTGTTGTAAAAAAAACCTAACTAACTAACAATATCCGAGTGATGTCTCCGGAGTAGTAAATATCTATGAGTCGTGATAAAAGTTAACCTTCAAACGATCGTATGCAAAGTGGCTAGCCAATATGATACCTGCACGAAGGCTGGGTACGACGATAGCGACATCTTGTATCCAGGGATCCGGCGCTGGCTGCGCGGCGACACGTGGTACCGGAGCACGTACATCTTCTGGAACCGCAGCATAGACTGGTAGCTGCACACATTTGTAGACATAACATTCTTCGTTTTCGGTAGAATACCATAGAGCATAAATAAAAAAAAAAACTTTAAAAATAACAAAATTTGTTGAGTTGCGGGTTCTTCTCAAACGAGAATATTCCGAACCCAGCAGAAGAGTTGTAAAAAATGACAATTGAAAAAAGATTATAAACAAGTCTATATAAATAAAGTTTTTTTTTTCTTTTCTAATAATCCTATTAATATAAGAAATGCGAAAGTTTCTAACGATATATGGATGGGGGGAAAGGGATTGTTAGTAATGGAGACTGAGAATCCCATACCAATATACCCAACCAGGTCGACCTCCTCGCGGTTCCCCCTGGAAACTGTCATGGTTAATTCCTGATGAATTCATCATGATGGGCTAACTGGCCTGTTTTCATTCTCATCTATCACCCTTCACTGGTGCTCCGCCAGCATATACCGTTAGCGCAGGCGGGGTTACCATATCATTTTCACCCATCAAAAAAACGATTGACGGATAGATAGATGTTTGTTGTTCTTTCGCATAAAAACTGCTGAACGGATTTGAATGTCATTTAGTACATGGAAAAGTTATATCCTAATTTAACATATAGGATGTGGGTTCAAAAGCCATAGAATTAAGTTAATTAAAGATAAGTAATCGAAAAATGACATATTTTAAAATATTTTAACAAAATTAGTGACTTTACCAGTACAAGTAAATTTACCAGAGAGAGAGAGAGAGATTTTACCAGAGGGAGACTTTGTACAAAAGTCGATTGCTTGGGTACCTCTGTCCCATTCGTGTTTCTACTGTAAAGCAGTTGTGTTTGCATGGCTGCGTTTCCGTTTGAAAAGTGGGATATGGCGTGAATTTACTGGGTACAGAGAAATAACACTTGAGACCTCAGAAATGGCAACGCATGGAGGTATCATGGGCGAAACATTATACTCTGTTATGTCCATGGTACTACTCATGTCTATAGGCGACGGTTACCACTTTCCATCAGGTGGGCCATTAGCTTGTTTGCCATTCTAAGTTGTATAAAAAAAAATTGCAAAGTAGAAAAAAGCGTTAACTGGAATACAGGTAAACCCTGTATATTCATAGTTAAAATTTAAATATGGTAACCGTTTAAATTAATTCTATTAGTTTTTACAGGTGAAAATGGAATTGTATTCCCGCCTGCGCTATCGGTATACAATGGCGAGGCACCAGTGAAAAATAGGTAAGGATGAAAGCAGGTGAGTTGACCCATCGTGACAAATTCCGCAAGATTTAACCACGATGGTATCCAAGAGAAACCACGTAGTGATTAATCTGATAGGATATATCACTAGCAATGGGACTTTTAGGGCCCATTACTAACAATCCATTTCCCCCTATTAATTCCTTAAAGAAACTAAATTCTATGCTATGGTCGTTGAATAAATCTGACCTGTTCCACGTGACGTGTGAAGTGTACAAATTGCTGAGATCGGGCAACAGCTTGACGAGGCCGGTGCAGTGCTCAGGGAACAGCATCCCATCCGGAGACACCTTCGACATCGACAGGGCGAATGCCAGCTCGTCCAAGTCACCCAGCATATTGATCCAGCTGAAACCATATAAGAACAAGCCATCGATAAAAGAAACTGGTGTATAACAGAAATGCACAGTTTACTCCAATAGTGATCTTTGATCCTTTTATAATGCCTCTTTTGGACCTATGTCTCATTTGGACTATCCAATGTCATTAAAGGGTGGTGGAGAAATTATTTTTTCAACCGACTTCTAAAAGAAGGAGGTTCTCGATTCAGTTGTATGTTTTATTATGTTTGTTACCTCATAACTACGTCAGTTGTAAACCAAAATCAGTCAATGTTAACCGTTCGTCAAAATAAGATCTTACAAAAATGAAATTAATCGTCCGGCAACGGTTATTAGTGGACTGTATGAAATTTAATACAATGATGGTAGTTAACATAAGAAACACAAGCGGATAATGAAAGTGGAGACCACTGACCTGAAGCTTTGTAGTTAGCAGGATTCGGTTCTGGCCTTAGGCTTCCCAGTACTTCTGGCTCGTTCGAACTTACCCTCAGATCCGGGTTACCTATCCACTGCCTTGAACCGACCAGCAGTGCAATGCCCTCCTCTCAATCAGCCTCTTGGTTATGTGTGATATGATTAAAAAAAGCGATACGAAAAGAAAAACGATATTCGCGGCGATATATACACGCGTGCGATGTTTTAAAACGAGAACGACGACAACGAACGTACGTTCTACCGACACATTCGATAGCAACCGACAAGACTTTTTTTTTGTGCGATAATGTTGCCAGGCGAAATTTATTTAAGTTACAATTCTTAACAGTTAAGTTGTTTAGTTATTAAATCAAATTAATTGATTTTTGCTACTTTTAAAGTCAGTTTTTTTTAAGACAATTGAATTATTTTCAATGTTAGTAAGGCGGTACCATCAAAACTTGTCTATAGTTGTCAGGTAGGCTATCTCTGGCACTAGGGAACTGGATGCAGTATAGAGATAGCATTTCCCTTCGATTGATTAAATTCATGGATTACAGTCGCTGTATGTGTTCAGGAAATTGTGGTCACACATCAAATAAAAAAAAAAAAAACTTACATAATATCCCTAATCGTGAGCAGCTCGTACGCGTTAGTGGTGGCCTCATTGTACCCTACAGCCAGTCCCTCCAACTGAATATAGTACAGTTTCATCTGTAAATAAAATATTAAATCTTTTTCAACTATTTCCAAAACGAGAAGGTTATCTATTCGTCTGTATTTGTTTTTTTTTTTTTGGAATTCCGTTACGCGATCTTGCTGTGAATTCTAAAACGATTTTGTTATAATTATTTCACGATCAACAGTGCACTTATAGGACATGACGATTTTTTAAGAACATACTAGAAGGAATAATACAGGGCAAAAGAGGAAAGGAAAGACCGAGGAATAATTGCATGGGACAGATAAAGGAAACACTAGGTGTCATGTCATATAGAGAAGTCAAAGTTATAGCCTGGGACAGGACTGGCTGGAAGAGAATGCATAAATTAGTTGCACAGACAAGAGGAAACTGTTAAAAGAAAAGAAGATGTGGACTCCACCGCACTAACCATACAATTTTATGAAAATATGTTCATTTATTTTACTGTGCATCAGACTTGATAACAACTAACATTAAGACTTTAACAGGATATTAACATGAAGTTCCCATGAGCGAAGCCGCTGCGATCAGTTAGTAAATATAGTAATATTTACCTGATACCAGTATGGATCATTGGGATTTTTCTGCACCATAGAGGAGATGTAGGCCTCATTTTTGTCCACAAAGTCTTCTATCAGCCCACATACATCAGTTTTATTGTAACAATAACTGTAAATAAAAATTTATTCAATGTACTTTGTGCAACAGTTGTTCGCATGTGTATCTCTCCCCTTCTACTAATCAGATATATACACAGTAATAGTAACGGCGACAATGAGTCTTTTTTTTATACAACTTAGAATGGCAAACAAGCTGACGGCCCACCTGATGGAAAGTGGTAACCATCGCCTATAGACATGAGCAGTACCATGGACATAATAGAGTATACTGTTTCGCCCATGATACCCCGCATGCGTTGCCATTCCTGAGAACTCAGATGTTATTCCTCTGTACCCTGTAAATTCACGCCATATCCCACCCTTCAAACCGAAACACAGACACGCAAACACAGTCATGCCTAATTATCGCAAGATCCAGAAACAATACCCCCTTACTACCTCCACTACTGTTATTATTATTATATCAGCCCTTAACGGTCCACTACTATATAGGCTTTCTTAGCACCTCTTAAGACATCCATGGGAAAGACAGGAATGGCCCATTCTAATCCGGAACCATGTAGCACCTCCACTATAAATATGGTAACACAGTCAACAATGAGTCATCTATATCCTGGGAACTGAATTGCCAAAACTAGGCTCTGAGGTACAATCTATGAATTTGCCTGAAGATGCATTGATAACTTGGTGAAATATATGTTGCAAAATGTGTATGTATGGAATAATGGATAAAGATAATAAGTAATATAATCTCTATATTAGATTAGTAGAAATAATTAATTAATTGATTAACTAGTGATATAGCTTTCTGCAAAATAACACCTAGTTCAGTATAACACCCAACTCAAGTTTCTGCTACCATACAGCTGTGTTTCAGTTTGATGGGTATGATATAAGAATGTAATTATTGGTTACAGAAGTATACTATCATAGTTCTCAGGAACGGTATTTCCATTATTATAATTTTTTGTAATTAGAAAATTTCCCCACTTTCTATAAATTACAAAAATAATTGATAAAATATTGGGACCATCTTTATGTTAAGATAGCGTTTACAAAAATGTATAAAACATTCTAAGAGCAATAGTATATTTATTAATTTTATTAACCTCTCACAGTAGATACACAATGCAAAATGCAATTTTAATTTTATATATACCACTATTAATTAAAAAATGGGCACACTCTGTCCTTCAAAATTTTATTCAAATCTCCTCACATATGTAAATATGCCACTGCAAGTAAAAAAGAATAGTACAAGTACCCCTTAAGCATGTTCTGCCAGTGCATCCATATAAGGTCCCTGGTGAGGAAGCCCTCGAGGTACCCGGCAGCGTATGCCTGTTTCTCATCACTGGAGTCTGCCGATGTGTGCAACTCCAAGTATGCCCAACTGTGTACAGAACAATATCAAGTTACATAAATGTAATATAAACATTTGTGTACCAATATAATATATAATAAACATATAATATGTTTTAACAGAACTCAATGAAAAGGTAACCAAGTTTCATTGATATTAGCACAAAATTACTGTCTATTATGCATTTACTATTAAATATAGTCTCTTTTCTTTTTAATATGTATAATTTAGCAGTAATTTAGTAGTAAAAATGTACAGGTACTAATAAACTAAAGGAAGAGCTCTTCTTTATTTTGTTAAAAACCTTAATGTTGTAATTTATAAAACTTATTGATTCAGATTGTTAAAAAAATATCATAAAACAAAGAGAAATTTCATAGGAAATTGTAAATATTTTGAAGAATAATGTATAAATATATATTCGGAATACCCATAAAGACTTACTCATCATATGACTAATATAACGGTCGCATGCAATAAAGGGAGGTAAATTTATTATTTAAACTTTACAAAAATTCTCATATCCCCTCTTAAGGAGAGGAGATGACAACTAACCCCCGGCAAAAGCATTATTATTACTATTATGCCAATTATTTTTGAACAAAGAAAAATAGCGGGAAATTATACATACCCAGTATTGTTTATTTCATTGCGATAAGTAGCCTTAGCTACGTGCAAATCCGGGATATCAGCATAGTAATCGGTCAAAGATACCTCCGCTTTGTTATTTACCCACGTAATAAAGCCATATTTACAATTACATCCAGTAAAAAATACAAAAAACAATAACATAAAATAATTAAAACGCTCCTTCATTGTAGCGCTAACAGTATGGCTAAAATACACGATATACTAATCACTGGTTAAATGAGGAATAAGTTATTTTATACAATCCTTTAATGAGATAATAAGGTCAGAGTTACAATTAAATAGAGTTACAAATAAACATTATATTGTATCTTATTTAGGTAGGTATTTAAATCTAAAAGACGATAAAGCATTGTTTTGACATTTCATTGACAGACTTGACATTTAATCAAGATTGCCAACATAGAATATATTATGTTGCCAATTCCTAAAAGTGTTTACCCACAAAGAAAATAAAGAACGGAACCGAAATACGAAAAGGTACTATTAAAATAAAATAATCAGCACCACTTTTAGACAAACATATTCTAGATACTACCACTTTTTCAAGTATGTGCATGTTTTGTTTTGTATGATATTTATATTATTGTTTATATCACTAACTTGAATCAGATTGTCATGCTAACTAATAAAAGCTACTACAGCAACAGATATGAAAGAGGGAGGGGGGGGGGGGGATTATAGGATCGGTACAACAATGATTAGGTTTAAAAATATAAATTTGAAAAAAAAAATCAAAATGTAAAAACGTTTCAATTATATATTTCACTAAAATTTCGTCTACCAGCCACAATACATCTACTAATCCGAATCACAGTTTTGAAGCCATAATGAATTCTCTGTGATATCAAGTGGCCGACAGCTTCATGCCGACCTCGCCACACTTGTGGTTGATCTCTCTCAGCAAGTATGGAGTCCGCTCGTGCTCGGGCGCAGTGAGCCATTCGTTAGTATTCACCGGTACTGCTATATAGCCCTGCTTCTCTAATATACTCAGAACAAGTCCAAAGATACCGCGGAGACGGTTGCTATTCATTGAGAAACAGCCTTGGTTGAAGTTTATTACGCACACCCTGAAAAATACAGTGTTAGTTAAAAATATGGTTTTATATTTCCTATAATATACACATAGACTGTTATAAATTGTAATATAAGATTTTTCAGTTCAGAAACTTCAGTGTGGCGAAGCATTTTTTCACAATTTTGATCATAACTAAAAAACTACACAGCATAAAAATAAACAAAAATCAAATTTAAATTGCATAAATGAAGCCCTTTCATATGATAATACAATTGGACAAGTAGATAAATTTTGAAATTTTGAGTCTGCATTTTGAATCCCCTAACAAAAAAAAAAATATTTTTTCAATTATTTTCATTGCAGTATATGCGAGCGAAAGTGTATTCTTTAGTGTGATGCCACAACTGTTCATAGATCAAGAGCTCAAGTTAGAAGGTCTTGAGCACGTGACGTCACGCGCTCGTTTTTGGCTACGCTCTCGTAACGTGCGCTGAAGGACGATCGCCCGCGCGGTTGTGACGGACCGCCAGCGCACATTCCTTGGCCGGCCTGAACCTTACGCGGTTTTCGTTAACTCGTTAGTATATGCGAGCGTATGATATGTAATAGTATTTCAAATCGCATTAATAGTTGCTAAAATATAATGCTGTGACTGACGGACAGACGGATAAAGTTGCACCATAAGAGTTCCTTTATACCATTTTAGTGTGAAGGCCTAAAAATACAAAATGTCTAATAAATTTAACTAATTATTTTATTTATATTGACAATTAATCTATAGAATATATATCCTATCTCAATACTGGCTATTGACTGCATTCAATCACTATTGAAATTATTAAAAAATAGAAGTACTCTGGCAATTATGATTCGAACTAAAATGTATTATGGTAAAGTTTCATTACAATCTACTAATGCATACATTAGACATGCATTATTCCCATCCGTAGAAGGAAAATGTCATAGAAAGGCTATGAACATATGCATTATGAAATAACAATAGACTGACGTCAATGAGCAATTTTTTTTTACGACTTATAATGGCAAACAAGCTGACTGCCCACCTGATGGAAAGTGGTAACCGTCGCCTATAGACATGAGCAGTACCATGGACATAACAGAGTATACTGTTTCGTCCATGATACCCCCCATACGTTGCCATTCCTGAGGACTCAGGTGTTATTCCTCTGCACCCTGTAAATTCGCGCCATATCCCACCCTTCAAACCGAAACGCAGCACATGCAAACACAACTGCTTCACGGTAGAAACACGAATGGGACAGAGGTACCCAAGCAATCGACTTTTGTACAAAGTCTCCCTCTGGTAAATAAAAAGAGCAAATAAATAAAAAATGTACCTCTTTATTCGAGACATACAATAGCGACATAGCTATTTAATTTGAACGGGTAATATAAATATAATGCTTTTGACGTAGCAAATAAACTGAGTTGTCAAAAAACTAAAAACTGTATACAGAGCAAAACAAAAAATCTTTCCGATCTTGCTCAAATTTCCGTGTTTTACTTCTAATGGTATCTCATTGTAACTATTACTTTTATTCATGTTATATTTGTTAGGATCATTGCTACAATTCTAAATATATGTTCTTATCACACATAATCAGTGTTGCCATGTAATCTGCAATTGTCCCTACAATATGTTTTTTTTTAATGGGTGATAATGGTATGGTAACCCCGTCTGCGCTATTGGTATACACCAGTGAGGGATGACAGATGAAAATGAAAGTAGGTCAGTTAGCCCATCCTGATGAATTAAACTAGAATTAGTCACGATGGTTTCCAGGGGGAACCACGTGGAGGTCGACCTGACAGGGTATATTGCTAGTAATAGGGCTATTTGACCCCATTACTAACAATCCCTTCCCCCCCCCCCCCTACAATATGGTTATTTATGGTGACGTGATATGTAGCGGCAATAGGCACTCGGTGAGTGTGAAGGTAGCAAAGATATACTCACACAAGAGATCCCTCAGGTAAATTTAGTTCCTCTATGGGCACTTTAGTGTCACCGTCCAGCGGTGGCAAATTAACAGGGTAGCCATTCTTCAGACACAATAATAGATCTGGAATGATTAAAATAAATTATTGTTTTTTTTTTTTTATTATATGCATAATAAAAATCTTATCTAGTACTAATTGACCTAGTCTGTTTATTTGGAGATTAGCATTTTTGTTGTATAAAAACTATCAGTAATAAATTACTTCACCTGCAACAAATCCACTTGGAAGTACCACATTCTTCACCAAATAATCCTTATTTCCTAGTCCTCGCGCTAAATGCTCCTCCAGCAGATTTGTCATACTACTGATTGGGTACAATGCCTTTGCTTTCTCCAGCACAGCTTGGGGCAGCTGAACTTCGTCATTGTGGAAAGTTCGTACAGCCTGGTACAGTGTCAATATCTGAAGATAATCTAACGTATTATTGTCTCTTTTTAAGAATTCTTTAAGGAAGTCTTCTGAGAACACCTTGTCCAGAAGTTTATCTTCATAAAAGCCTAAGGATGCTAGCTCCAAACACAATTTGGACCATGGCAATGCAGTATTTTTGGCATTCAAAACCGGATTTAAGGAGATCTGTCTTTGCAACTCGGCCCACTGGTCTGGATCAGGTGTGTAGTTGTTGTTGGAGAGACAGTTGATGAAGCCGAAGAGTATGTTGGTGCGCGCATTGGCAAGTGTGACCGGGTTAGACGCTGCTAGCGAGCATAAGTACTTTACCAGCCCGAGGTGGGTGTGCGCCTGGAATGGAATGATGGGAAAGTAATTTGTATTATGTTTATAGAGCATATTTATCAATGTCCCATTGCAAGTTTACCTGATCAATACATTATGTACTTGCATATTATAATTTAAGTTTGTATTTGTAAACTTCTGTTATGTGCGCCTAATAAATAAAATAAAATAAATGCCATTTTTCAGTTTATACAAAATAGAAAAAAAATTTAGGAATACAGTGGGAAAAGCAACTTACAATCCTGGACAATACCCTCGCCACCAGCAAGCCCTTTTCAAATTCCATATTGTGGTTCACAACATAATCTGCAATCCTATCCATCAACAGTTCATGATAATACTCTGGATGCTTCTCCAGTATACGACCCTTGATTTTGGCCGCCGTTTTCAACACATCCTCGTATGTTAGATCATCTATATGGCGTGAAAGGATATCATAACAGATATGTAGAAGCTGCACTCTCGTCGGGTATACTTCTTCTGTGCAGTTAATTTGACATAAAGACCATATGACGGATTTAGCGATTTGTGCATTTATATGTTGATCATGTAAAAGCAGCCCAGTCACTATGTTGTTGATACATCGATCTGGAAGGTAGTGGGCGCAGCTGTATGCCAGCATATCTCTTAGGAGTGGAAGATCATCATTATCTAACTCTAGAGGGAGGTGAATTTGGAAAGCCAGAGGCAGGGCCAGTTTTAAAGCGTCCACTAAATGGTTTTTGGTGTCAAATCGTCTTAGGATAAAGTGGAGGAACATTATCTGTCTGGTGTTGATCATATTGATATTGCATCTGATCATTTGGAGCAATGTCTGAACAATCAGTGAATCCACTGGAACTTTGAGGTAGGAGAGCACTTTGGTAGCTTCAATAGATTCATTCACATCTAGAGCTGGAGCATATCTCTTAAAATTTTGACAGAGAATATTGAATGCTGGATTTTTAATAAGATTTTCAGTGTCATCTTCAAATCTGAAAAAAAAAAAGTGTTATCAAGTATATTAGCATCTACAAATACAAAATATTAGTTCTTGTGTGTTGGAAGGAACTGGCTTACAAGGCACAGGTTACCCTAATTTGTAAGCTAGGGCAAAAAACATGTAACTGTGTAACCCTGTATTTGTTAATAAAGTTTATTATTATTATTATTTTGCACATAATATTGACATAACATACCTGTATTACTAAAATTGTCTTAACTAATTCAGCTGAGAAACAATGTTCAGTACAATTCTTACACAGATTGAGGCATAATAGGTAAGTTCTCAGGATAATTATAATCAGTAGTAATTATAGTAAAAATAAATAAAACAATATTATAATACCTATGTATCATAATTTTATTATTAACATCACAAAATGAGTACAAGGCTAAGAATGAATTATAATATATCATATCTCTACTACCGGACTGGAAAGTGGAGGGAACTGGAGGTAAAAATCCAGGCAGATGTAACTCTTGGTAAATCATATAAAAATACCTCAAACAACTTAAACTTCGATAAACCCCATGAAAAATTTAAAAACCACTAACTTGCCAGCTTTCTGCAATTCAAAGAGGCATCGTAATGCCTGCATCATGTGTTTATGCGTCATGGCAGGAAGATGCGTCTGTATGGCGGCGAGCAGGTCACTCATACTCGGGGCGGACTTGAGGCTTGCCATCACCGTATCCGGAGTCCTGGCGCGGCTCAGTTCCGTTGATACTGAAAAGCCAGGAAGAAACAGGGATACCTGTGTTAATAATAGTTTTATTAATTTCTCTTAGAAAATTAAAAACTTTATTTTTAATAATTATAAGGTTGACAAAATGAATTTTCTATTTATTTATTTATTTAAATTGTGGTAACAATGGATGGTAAAACAAGATAAGCCTCTGTGATCAACCCCATATATCGAGGTATACAAATTTGCAACTATATAAGAAAAAACAAATTATATAAAAAAAAATCAACAATGTCACATTTATAGTAAAAAATTATAATATTATGGAAATTTATTACATTTATCTTCAAGGAAATCGTCAATTGAATAGTATGTTCTGTTTACTAGGTATTCATACAGTTTAGTTTTAAGTTTTTTTATGTCATCTATATCTGTGAGGGATTTAGGTAAGTTATTATGTATTCTAGGTGCCATCCTTAAATCGTAGTGAGTGGCAAGAGCTCCACCGACAAGAGCGCAGCTCTTAAATGGATAGATAGGTAGGTGCCATCCTTAAGACACTTTTAGTGAATAATGTACTTCTATGTGTTATAAAGTATATATTATACTTTTCTTTTTCTTCTTGTTTTTTTTTAATGGCTTTCACTGTAGAGACAAAGGTGATTTTCTGCCAATGTCAGGGTTAGAGAAGGCTTGTGTAATTCATATAAAAATATACTAAGTCTATGGTCATCATACAGACAGGAAATTTAATGACAGTTTGATTGTCATGCAGTTTGGTGATTTACTGTTATATATTAAATAATGTTCATTGCTGATAAATAAATTAAAAAATAAAATTATATCTTTAAATTTCTAATGATAATTAAAAAGTGGGCTGCCTTACTCAGCTTATTTGCCATTCTAAGTCTCATAAGAAAAGAAAGTCTTTATATTCTGGAAAACATGCAACTTCAATTAATAAGAATAGATTATCTACTTATATTTATACCGACTTATTTTTAGTAAACTAATTTATTATACAAATGTGATATTTGCATAGTACATTAAATAGTACATAGACACACCAGGTCTTTACTCTGATATCAGTGCCATAATATTCTTTGTATGTAAAATATAAAATACACAATGTAGATAGATAGATAATTTATTTGCATTACTTACAGCACACAAATTACAACATACATATACAAAAAAAGTGAGATAACATAAATGAGAAAAAAAATAATAATACACAAAGCTAAATACAATTTTCGTTTGCGAGTGTGCCATAGCAATACAAAATGGCCACAAATCAGTTTAACCTGTTTAGTAGAACCTGCAGGGAGGAACCTTAAATTTGAATAATGGAGCATTTGATATGCAACTGTAATTGTATGCAGGTATACACAAGTCCTTTAGGAATAAGTTATCAGAAGGTAGAACTTAAATGGTGAAAAATTATAAGGATGGTAAAATGTACAAGATGATAGTATAAGGCAGTGGGAAGTACAATAAGCTTAAAAGATTAAAGTGTGATAGATAGTGATTGTTAAAATGATAGAATATGGCCGAGGTGATGATGATATTATAATGTATAAATTCAGTATAGATTATATATAAAATATTGCACTCTAGATAACATTTAACAACATTAAACTTGAAATAAATTAATCTATGTTGATGCAAATACCCACAGTGAGACTTTGTACAAAAGTTGATTGCTTGGGTACCTCTGTCCCATTCGTGTTTCAACCGTGAAGCAGTTGTTTGCATGGCTATGTTTCGATTTGAAAGGTGGGATATGGCGTGAATTTACAGGGTACAGAGGAATAACACCTGAGTCCTTAGGGATGGCAACGCATGGGGGGTATCATGGGTGAAACAGTATACTCTGTTATGTCCATGGTACTGCTCATGTGTATAGGCGATGCCATGGTTATGATTATGGTGCTCATGTCTATAGGTGACGGTTACCACTTTACATCAGGTGGGCCGTCAGCTTGTTTGCCATTCTAAGTTGTATAAAAAAAATTTTTTGAATGTTAGTGATGTAGCCCCTACATGTGAAATAAAGATATAAAACATAGTACTAATATAAATTAAATTAATTACCAGAAGAGCTGAAGCTCTGTGATCTCAGAGATTTGTTGAGTGGGCCACTTCTCAGCACACTCCTCCACACACTCTTCAGTAGCAGCGTCATGATGTCTGGAATGTGATTTTTATTTTAATAATTAGTTCTTATTTGATAAGTTTATTATGTATTATGTTTATTTTTTATATAACTTGGTATGGTAAACAAATAGGTTAACAGCCTGACAGAAAATAATAAGCATATTGCCCATAATAAACAAAAGAACATCTACTAAATTTAATACTGAACACATACACAATAAACACACTATTACGTTTCAGAATATTTTAACGTAAAAGTTCAAGTTTATTTTATAACATGAATATGCTTCTTTTTTTATAGCCAATTAAAAGAGGTATAGTTTTAATTTATAAATTTAATGTACTTACCTGATTACAACTATTTCATTGTTCCATTCATTTTATTATAATATTTCTTATATTATATCTACAATAAAAATAGTATAATTTAATATATTTTCATACCTTTTAAATGAGAAATGGTAGAGTTAAAAGCTTAGGACAAATAATTTTGTAAAATGTCTTTTTGGTTATATTTATATAAGTTACAACATATAATGTAAAGGTAGTGTAATATAAGACAATAAGTAGATAATTATTTAAAAACTTCAGAAATGATTTTTTTAAGAGTAAATATAATAAAAAAGCCAAATTTATTATACCTATAATTTAATTTAAAAATTCGAATAATCTATTTCTTATTGACAATTTGACATTGACAAAAAGAATTTGACGTATTTAACTTTAATATTGAGATGTGAAAATATATTAAAAATAGTACTTTTCTTCTACTTTTCTTTTATGATATTTTTATCTCAGTCTCCTTTGTGTACTTTAGACTACTGTTATATGCAATATTATTATTTAAGAGCATTCATAATAGTACGTAGTACGTTATACTAAATCTTATGAAATATAGTAATGTCACAATTATGCTTGATTACCATTACCTACTTATTTAAAAATGATCTAAAATTGAAAGTTTATAGATAATTCCGATGTTGTCAACCTTCTTTATGAAGTTCTTAATTTCATTCTAATTTACGATATACTTCTCCTACAAATTTTAAAAATTACGGAATGTTCTTAGATTGTTTCGATTGATCCCATTCTATTATTTTTGTTCATTAGAGTAATTTTAACATTAATAAAAAGCAAACAGCAATTTTTAGAATTAGCGTTATAAATATTTAAATAAAGATTTAGACATAGTCTTTCTAATCTGTGTCATAGTCTCTCTAATCTGTCATATAGTCACTAATCTGTGGTACTAATTTGACATCTGTTGCTGATCTCTCACCTTCTTATATTTGTTGTGGTTTAATTTTTCAAATATATAGAAGTAAAATAGTGACATTAACTTAAATTTTTGTATTTAAGTAATAATAAAAATGAATAAAGAAACCATTGTAAGCACAAGGCCTGATCGCGAATTAAAGAAGAAAATCATCACACCCGGTGACTACACACTTGTTCCATACGAAGATTCTCGATGCAGAATCAACTTATCGGATGTTAAATGTACAAATGTGAATGGAAATTGCGAAATTGAGGCTAATAGTCGTATTTTCAGTGGGTCTTTTGATGGTAACGTTTTAATTGGAGACTCCGATTGTTTTATCGACCAGGATTTTGAGTTGATATTGCAACAGATGTGCTGTGGAGAAGTATGTGAGGCTCAGATGGTGTATAGAGACAACGCTGGAGTCTTGGTGAAAGAGATATCGTGTAAGATTGAACTCAGAGAAGTGACTGAGGAACAGCTCATCAGTGATTGGAGCTGGCAACGGTTGTATGAAGCTGCTACACATCACAAGGTATTACTTTTAAGAAGTTACTTTTATTAAGATATCTTGAGGTTTAAAATGATTACTGTGAATATTATAGATTGAGTGAAAGATGATAGATGATATAGTAGTAATAATAATTTATTTACTCGAATACAAATGGCCTTAAATTACAACAGAGTTACATATTTCGCCTTATCTAAAGGCATGCAAATTTTGTCTCAGCACATTAGTACTTTTTAGTGGCTCACATTTTTAAAGTAAAAATTCATCAATTACATATGTCCAAATATTCTAAATAGATAATAATTGCTACATTTAATTAGTTAATTGAAAGCATTCACATTTATAGATAATAAATGTTATAGTTATTTATATATTAGTAGTAGATAGAATAAGGTTAGGTTTGTCACTCCCTTATGATAAATTTACTAGGAATTTACTACAATGGTTTCCAGTACAGTCGATTGCTTGGGTACCTCTGTCCTATCCGTGTTTCAACCGTAAAGCAGTTGTGTTAGCATGGCTGTGTTTTGGTTTGAAAGGTGGGATGTGGCGTGGATTTACAGGGTACAGAGGAATAACACCGGAGTCCTCAGGAATGGCAACACATGGGGGTATCATGGGTGAAACAGTATACTCTATTATGTCCATGGTACTGCTCATATCTATAGTCGACGGTTACCACTTTCCATCAGATGGGCCGTCAGCTTGTTTGCCATTCTAAGTTGTATAAAAAAAAAAAAAATTTCGAGGTTGACCTGACTTGTTAATAATAGGATTAACTGCCTCAGTATTCGCAACATGTTATTAACAATTCCTTTCCTGCATTTTTTAATTAATTTCATTGCTAGAAGAAATTTAAAATAAGGATAAGTATGCTTATTGGCGTTAGGCATACGTATCTTGTCTATGACAGTAACTATATACTTTTTGTTTATTTTGAAAGTTTTGGTATAAAATTATGGCAATATTATGTCTATTTTGCTTTAAACAATAGTTTCCTTCCAGGAGTGTGGAGTACAGTTGGTTCGAGAGAAGAGGATAACTGATGCCTTCAGGAGGTTTAACAAGTCCCTGAAGATGTTGGTGGCTATAGAGCCTATTGATCCGGAGACCATTGATGCTGATAGAGTCAAGGAAATGGTGGATTTGAGGGTAAGCACTTTAAAAAATATTTTAAATATTTACTATACATTTAAGAATTTTTAATTGGGTATATAAAATACCCACCAGTGGGATTTGAACCCATATACTTCAGCTACTGGGGCAGAGTGTATTTTCAAATTATGATATCTTTGAAAGTAATACAACATGCATACAGTGCACATAGCTTTAAAAAGAATATTTATGTTTAATACTATGGCTCACAGTATGTCATGTTGGACTTGAATCTATTGTTGAATGTGGCAAGTTTACTGTTACATGCATCATTTGCATACACACCATGGGCTTCTCAGTTATATTTTTTGAGTGTGCACTCATGCACTCATGCTTGCCTGTGTGAGATTGTGTGTGCGAACATGCATGCAATTTTATTTTTGTAATAGAGATTTTATTGTTTTTATATTTTTGCAAAAATATTCAATTATAAAGTTAGCAAATAGCCATCTAATTAAAAATAACTCTTTCTAGGTGAAATTATATAACAACCTCGCCCACTGTCAGCTGCAGTATAATCAATATGACGCAGCTTTAGAACTGTGCAACAGGGCACTGAAGCATGATCCAGACAACTTAAAGGCACTGTACCGCCGGTGTGTAGCCTACCATGGGCTCAACATGTACGAAGAGGCCTGGGCCGATATACAGCATGCTTTAAAGATAGATCCCAATGATAAGGCCGCACAGCAGAAGGCCAACATGATCAGGCCAAAAATTGAGAAGATTAATAAGGAATACACAAATCTAGTAAAAAAAATGTTCAGCTAATAATTGTAGCAATTGATTTTCTCATTGTAAAAATGATTTGGCCATATACCTTAAGTACCAATAACCAATGTGGTAGAATGGTTCTCAAGAGTTGGTCCAGGAGGGTGTAGTGTAAAGTGACTCCTACTAAATGGAGTGATGATCTCAAACCTGTTGCAGTGAGTTGATGGTTGTGAATGACTCAAAATATTGTTTATGGCAACTAAATTGTGGAAGGTTTTGTTCAGCAGTGGACAGTGAAAAACTGAAATGTTTTTGGGTTACTTGATACAAAAAACTACACTCTGTTTTGATTAGGAAGCCACTCTCCCTAAGGGTTAGTTTAAACCACCATGTATAACCAAGGGGGAGAGGGGGTTAAAAACTTGCTAAAAAGATATGATTAATGGAGGACTCCAAAATAGTAATTATTCAAAAGTAATACATAGGTATGTAGAGTACAAGTTATAATAGTAGTGTTAATGTGTGTGTGTATGTGTGTGTGTATGTGTGTGTGTATGTGTGTGTGTATGTGTGTGTGTATGTGTGTGTGTATGTGTGTATATATCATCGTTACATCAGCCTTTAACTGTTCTTTAACTGCTGAATATAGACATCCCCCCATAAGGGGGATTTTGTCAGTAATTGCCACAAACCTGGGGTTGACAACCACAGTTAGGTTTTGCGTAGTTTTAGGAGGGATTTTGCTGCCATTATATATATATATATATATATATATATATATATATATATATATATATATATATATATATATATATATACTAGCTGACTCAGCAAACGTTGTTTTGCCATATACATTATTTGGAGAATATTTTTTTAGTCCATTAAAAAAATATATTGGGGAGGGTCACTCTTATCATTGAGGGGTATCCTAGTTTATGTTTTACTCTACTTCTGGAAAAAGCTAGTAAATTTCAAATATTCATAACTTTGATGCAATGCGTGTGCTCTAAATAGCTTAACAAATTCTAAGCTATGAAGTGCTGTTAAATTTGTCTTAATTGTGAGAGTGCTGGAGGTTACATGACAATAATTTGTAACAATAATTATGGCAGCCATAAATTGATAATAGTGAAATTTAACAATCAGAATTCTTGTGACTTTATAACTCCATTTGATATGGTTTTTTTTTAATGTTTGATAATGGTATGGTAACCCCGCCTACACTAACGGGATACGCTGGCGGAGCACCAGTGGAGGGTGATAGATGAGAATGAAAACAGGCCAGTTAGCCCATCATGATGAATTCATCAGGAATTAACCATGATAAGTGTTCAGTGGGGACCGCGTGGAGGTCGACCTGGTTGGCTATATTGCTAGCAATGAGATTCTCAGTCTCCATTACTAACAATCCCTTTCCCTCCATTTGATATGATTAGTTAGTGTATTTACTATTGATCTGTCTATAGGCGGTAACCAATGTTTTATTCTATTAACGATGTTAATAAGCATTTTAAGATTTTGCTCCACTGTAAAAGTGACTCCTATTATTACAAAATTTACGTTTTAAGATAAATATATTAAAATATTTCCTGCTTTCTTTAATATGATGAATCTAAACCGTGGCGAAACAATAGGGTGGTAATGCGGGCAAAATACTACACGCCCCCGGCCTGCGAGTGCATCTGATCTGAGTGGTCGGGAGTACAGGAAGAATTGAATTATTTATTACATAATAGTCACTTACCATCAGGTGAGCCGCATGCTCGTTTGCCCTCTGTGTTGTAAAAAAAAATTGGTAAAATTAATCACTTTTACCAATTTTTTTTTACTGCTTAATGACGAAATAGTAAATTTTGTTAATGATACAGTTTTTTTAGGTATAACAGTGGACTCGAAATTACAATGGGGGCCCCATATTTCAAAATTGGCCAGTAGACTCAGTTCTGCTGCATATGCAATTAGAAGAATTAGGCAATTAACAGACGTGGCGACGGCTAAACTTGTATATTTTAGTTATTTCCATAGCATAATGTCTTATGGCATACTGCTGTGGGGTAAAGCAGCCGATATAAATACTATATTTGTTTTACAAAAGAGAGCCATACGTTCTATTTATGGTATGGGTTCAAGAGAGTCATTACGTCAGTGCTTTAAAGACTCAAATATCCTCACAGTTACTTCACAATACATTTATGAAAATATTATGTATACACGGAAGAACTTAGCGAGTTTTAAAAAACTCAAAGACTGTACAAGTAGAAACTTACGCAATATAAATAAGCTTATTTTACCTAAATGCCGTCTGCACAAAATCAGTAATTCATTCTATGGTAATTGCATAAGATTTTATAATAAACTGCCGGAATCTGCATTAAATCTGACAGAGAGGCAATTCAAATCTTATATTAAACAATTTTTATGTAAGAAAGCCTATTACAGGATAGACGAATTCATAGATGACAACATATCAAGTAAATAATTAGTTTATTAGCATACAACGTTATAATTTTATTTTCTCATTGCTTTCTTGATTTAATTGATTAATTTTAGAAATATGAAAGCGTAGCGGTTTTTTGTATTAATTGCCGCATGCATTCTTATGTAAAATGTGAATACTATAACTATCAGATGGCAATTGTGAGTAGCTTTGACGTGGTCTAGTGTTTTGAGTAGTCATGCTCACTAAAATGTCCAGACTTGTGGCGGCGTGGTGGGCCGGGTCATTGGGCTCCCTAAAATATGGTCGAGCGCAGTGATGGCTGGCTCATCCGTCATACTCGTGAACGGGTGCTGCTTGTAGGGACTGGTCTGCTCTAATCACTATGACTGATTTCCTCTTATTAATTGTTTAACCAGTTGGTTATGTATTCAATTTTTTTTTTTTCTTTTTGAGTATTTAATTGAATTAGTGCTAATTGGTGGTTTGTATTCACACAATTAAACTTAAAAATGTAAAATAATAATAAAATTATTTAAAAGAGCATCACGCAAGTTTCTTGCTCGTTCTTCTTGTGATGAGACAGCTTTCCGAACGAGCGGTAAATTAAAAAAAATGTAATGACTTTTCAAAAGTGCTTCAATGTAAGTTTATTTGAATAAATGATTTCTATTCTATTCTATTCTATTCTTTGAGTATTAACTCGAGAACATACAGAAATTATATAATCTGTCAAGATGAAGAAAAGCTACGCAACATGGCTATTCCATCCATCGGAAATTCTTTGAATTTTTTTATTTCTATTATGTATGTTTTAGTATGTATGTATATCAATAATTAGTAGTACCGCATTCGAGTATTCTGACACTTCCCTATGGTTGACTGGGAGAGAATGCTTTTAGCATTAAGTCCGCCATGTACACATATATGTGCTAATGAATAAATAAATAAATAATGGGAGACTTCTCTCCGCTGAATTTGCCACGGGTCTCGCGTGATTTACTTACGCCACTGACTCCAAAGTCAAGGAAAATACACAAATTTTTAATGATGTTATCATTATTTAAATGTTTGAATTAAGATGTATATAAATATATTTTTAAATCAAATTAGTAGCTGAAGAACTATAGATGTGTGCCTACTACCAGTTATATGTACATACTTATTCAAAATATTATAAATAATGTTTAATACACATGTTTTTTTGATGGTAGTATCAGACCAAGCAAAATTCTCAGCTTGTTGTTTCACCCACTACATTATCTGTGACATCTTCCACATATTCTTGTATCCAATATATTATTCTGTACATATTTAACAGCCTTATAATATTTGAAATATCCGTGCATAAAATAAATAGCAAAATTAAAAAAGTTTTTGTTTCTTTTATAGTGTTCAGGAAAATTACAAAAATTTTATCAATTTTTTATGTTTTATTTCTTTTTTTTTATACAACTTAGAATGGCATACAAGCTGACGGCCCATCTGATGGTAAGTGGTAACTGTCGCCTATAGACATGAACAGTATATATAAGTCTCCCTCCATATCAGTCTCCATGGACATAACCATTTCGTCCATGATACCCCCCAAGCGTTGCCATTCCAGAGGACTCGGGTGTTATTCCTCTGTACCCTGTAAATTCACGCCATATCCCACCCTTCAAACCGAAACACAGCCGTGCAAACACACCTGCTTCACGGTAGAAACACGAATGGGACAGAGGTACCCAAGCAATCGACTTTTGTACAAGCTATCAGTGTGTTTTTCTTCCCGTGTCGTGGACTAGCGCCACGGTGTGGACGATCGGTCGGCGCGCTCTGGCTTTGCATAAATCAAACCAGACTTTGTGTAAGCATATACCGTACAGTGATAACGAGACACGCACAACTATCTATAATATCTAAATCTAACTAACTATATTATATCTACATTTTTAATTACTATTGTTTAATATGTAAATATAAGTAAGTTTTGTAAACAATGCATTTAATTACCTCTTTATGATCATTCAACATAGAGCTTTATTTGTAATGAAATAAAATTTATTTCTACAAAATATATTGTTTTTATTAAATTACTAGCTGACCCCGTAAACGTTGTTTTACCACTTATTGCGAAATATAAAAATCGCAATTAAAAGACAGGGGTTGATCGTAAAAGGGTGATAATTTAAAGTTGTATATATTTTTCAATGCTAAATTATAATAAAATAAAAATAAAAAAAAATTGTCAAATAAATAAAAAAAAAATATTTTGGGGTGGGTCACCCTTATTATTGACGGGTATGAAAAATAGATGTTGGCCGATTCTCGGACCTACCGAATATGCACACAAAATTTCATAAATATCGGTAAAGCCGTTTCGGAGGAGTTTGGTAACAAACACCGCGACACGAGAATTTTATATATAAGATGTAGTGAAATCCATTGGCGTATTTAAGTTTATTTTCAATAGGGGTAGACCTTCATTCTGAAAATACGTATATGTACTCTCAGACGTGTCCGCGAAGTTGCGTTTGGGTCCCGGGGTGGGCACCAGCCAATTCCAGGGTGGGCACGGGGTAAACTTGGCTTAGAAACCAGGCATGGCACACGGGGCCTGTGTGAATATTTTTTTTTAATAACGGAGCAAACAAGCATACGGTTTACCTGATGGTATGCGACTACCGCTGCTCATGATCACCCACGACACCAATGGCTGGTTTGCTGCCGTTCTTAATAAAAACAATAGATATCAAAACGATAATTTTTAGAAACTTGTATTTTGTTTTTCCGATTTTTCTTTCGTTATAGCCCAAAAAATATTTAGTAAATTTCTTTTTTCACAGGTCTAACTTATAATCTAGTAATGTTTTAACTTGATTCGATACACTTGGTAAAAGTGGTTTAACTATTTCTAAAAATCACACGTAACAAATGGATTCATACAATATTTTTTTTTTTTATATAAAAGAAAAGGTAAAATACAAAAATATGTTTTCGCCATGTGTGTCGCGGTGACCCAAATAGGCTACAGATCAGTGATAGTTTTGCTCAAAAGCAAAGCACTGATTTTTAGCTGCAGCCTGAAGTCGGGCTACATGGACGTGTGCAACGAACCCAGTGTATGACCAAATTAACATACAAAAATAAAATACATTATTATTTTCTATACCTACTTACGATACCAGGAGGACAGCCCAAATATTATATATCATTAGGGAATAGTGAAGGGTATAGGCTACGTTTTATCCCGGTTACCGAATATATCCCGGTTACGAAACGGTACAGACGAAATCGTGGGAAAAAGCTAGTTATCTATAAACGCGAAAAGGCATGAGAATGGATCAGTACCGGATTTGCAGTGTTGTCCGGCCTAGGCCCCAGCTCAAGTAGTAAGTACCAGCCAGCCCTTTCTGAGCACCCATCGTATTGAATACATAATGAATTTGCTTTTTTGCCAACAGTCGTTTTGAAATCGATTCATAAATTTAGTTAACTATAATATCTGCTAGTTTATAATATTTTTAGAGGTTTCTTTTAGTTATACGTACATTGAGTTATTTCTTGTAATCGTCAGTGAATTTTTTGTCACGATTGGCCGCCCCTAATATCTGGCCGATCTAGGCTCGGGCCTCCTGGGCCTTAAGGCAGAATGTATCGATATTTGTTACTGTTTTACGTAAAAATTACTAAAGTGGTTTGAGTTAAATTTGGTACACGGATACGTTATATTCTAACTTAGAATACAGGATACTGATACAAGCAGGCGAAGCTTTTTTTTATACAACTTAGAATGGCAAACAAGCTGACGGCCCACCTGATGGAGAATGGTAACCGTCGCCTATAGACATGAGCAGTACAATGGACATAACAGAGTATACTGTTTCGCTCATGATACCCCCCATGCGTTGCTATTCCTGAGGTCTCAGGTGTTATTCGTCTGTACCCTGTAAATTCACGCCATATCCCACCCTTCAAACCAAAACACAGCCATGCAAACACAACTGCTTCACGGTTGAAACACGAATGGAAGAGGTACGTAAGCGATCGACTTTTGTACAAAGTCTCCCTCTGGTCTGTCGGATATAGCGAGTAAAGTATATTTATTTTTTATATTTTTTCCGCCAACGAAGCGATGCACTTTTATACAAGTATATTACGATCATTTATACAGTGATACAAGTTTGTTTATGAGTGCCAATCAACAAGTGCTCTAGATGTGGACATACGATACCAACTATAGCCACCACTACCACTACGCGCCGCTAAATGTAGGCAAATCGAAAGTGGATTCCCTCGCTCGCACACGAATGCCGTGAGTGTTTCCATTCGCAGCGTGCGCCCGTTCTATACCGTCGTATATAGGCCTTGATCACAGGCGAAGTTGTGAAAATGTTTAACAGGACTATAAAAGTGTACAGTCACAGTAGACGCAAGTTGCGCCCTCTGATGAGTACTCTTAAGACCAATAAATGCCAAAACATTAATTTTTAGAAATTTTGTTCGACTGTCTCTCTGTTTGTTTCAATATCACGCAAACACAACTGCACCAAATTGGATGCGATTTTCACAGTTGTGTCCCTGAAGTGTAAAAGATTGGTATATAAAAGTTTGAATTTTTTTTTTTTTTTGGATTTTTTTTTTTTTTTTTTTTTTTTTTTTTTTTTATAGAACTTAGAATGGCAAACAAGCTGACGGCCCACCTGATGGAAAGTGGTAACCGTCGCCTATAGACATGAGCAGTACCATGGACATAACAGAGTATACTGTTTCGCCCATGATACCCCCCATGCGTTGCCATTCCTGAGGACTCAGGTGTTATTCCTCTGTACCCAGTAAATTCACGCCATATCCCACCCTTCAAACCGAAACACAGCTATGCAAACACAACTGCTTCACGGTTGAAACACGAATGGGACAGAGGTACCCAAGCAATCGACTTTTGTACAAAGTCTCCCTCTGGTAAATATTATTATATGTTAAATTGGTATTTGATACGCCATCTAGAAGTTGTTCCTTTTATTGATTTTTCTACTTCTAAAATCCACGCACACAAAGTGTCGGACAAAGAGCTAATAATTATTTAATAGTTACAGTAATTTAAAAATTCTAAAACGACCACAAATTTTATGCTTTCATTGATTCGCCGTATCAATATGGAAGTTTTAATATTTTTGTCGGATTTTTTATAAAAAATTTTTTGTTTAAATTTTCACATTCCTGGTAAAGGAATGTTCGCACAGTTACGATTTCACTGTCTATTGTTAGGCAAATACTCAACGATAGGGTCGTATGTCGGACCGTCTAAATATCGTATGACATCATCCATCTAGCGTCGTGTATCTGCACCATCAATAAACACACAGCCGGTCGCGTGCTGACATCATAACATGACCTTACAGAGGCAAAATCAGTCGTGTGGCTGCCTCCGCTGCGAATGTTCAACGTTTGGTGTTAATTTTGTTTATAATAAGTGAATTATTGTTTTGTGTAAACATATCCCTGCGAGACGAGATGCCTGGTGAGTATCGATCCGAACTTTCTCATTACACAGTGTACGCCTCGCTGGAGTTAGGCGTTAGGCGGTGTGCAAGCGAGATATATATAGATTGTGTCAGATCGGATGTGATACATAGATATAGATATAGTAAATAGTAAATGCTGTGATTCATTCCATCGAGTAGATGCACCTTGATTGTTTTGGCGTACTGTTTGTAACAAAATTTATTTTTATTCCAATTATTTTGAAGAGTTAACGCGATGCATTTATTACAATTTCATTGACACCTCTTGACATTGAATAACAATTGTTAGAATTGTATTTACAATTTGTTTTTATTATTACATTAGCATTCTAGTTTATAACGCCGAACTTTGATTTATCGAAATTTTGTCATCAGGTATTTTTTAATCTGTTCTTATTGAAGATTTGAAGATAAGAGAGTTTATTAATAATGCAGTTTTTTATGGACTTCGGCCAGTTATTTATTTATTTTAACCAAAGGCGAGCTATTTATAAATGCGATTAGGTATACCAATAATAGATGGAACTAAAATATAAAGATTGGAAGCTACACCCTATGCCTATGTTATTATATTTGTACTAGCTATGCCCGCAGTTTCGTTCGCTTTGTACAGAATTTTTATACAACTTTGTGTGTATTTTTTTTTTAATTTTTATTAGCTTATGCTGTTCCCTGTTTAGTTCAATATATTGTGAAAATTTCATCACAATCAGTACAGTTGTTTTTGTTTGAAACAATAAGCAGAATTAGAATTTATTTATTTGTTAGAATTAGATACATGTTTTGTAGGTGTTACATTATGAGAAAAATATAATGCAATCTTTTTTTGCCACAATGAATGCGTGTAAATATTAAAATTTTTTATAAAACATACGTAAATATACGTAGTATAGATATAAGTAAGATATTACATATATACATATATATAATACACGAATAGACAAACATGTAAATAGTAAACAATTTAAAAAACCGTTTTCGATATAGTCAAGTACCTATGATATATGTACATAGGTCTCCAAGTAATGTCATCCATTACCTATTTTATAATTTTTATATGTTATTATTTCGGTAAACTAATTAATACATATTTTTATTTAAATTTATATTTTATTACTAGCTGACTCGGCAAACGTTGTTTTACCATATACATTATTTCTAAAACTATACATGAAAATTTATCGTACTACAATCATTATATTCGATTGTCAACTCACAACCATATTGCGGCATATAAAAATCACTATTAAAAAATAGGGATAGATCATAAAAGAGCGAAAATTTGAAGTTGTATGTATTTTTTTAAAATGAAATTGAATGAAACATTTATTTGCTGGAATAAGGTACAATTTTATAGTTATTACTTTACAAGGAAAATAGGCCAATCTTATTCTGCCACATTGTAGGCGTGCAAATATAAAAACTTATTAAACAAAAAATAAAAATAGTAACATATACATTTGCAATAATATTATGTCACTTTTTGTATCTATTCATTGTAATATAATTGACATGAATGGATACAAAAAGTGACATTATAAGATACATTTTCGATGCTTAATCATAATAAAATAAAAATTAAAAATTTTGTTAAACAAAAAATATTTAGAGGTGGGTCACCCTTATCATTGAGAAGTATAAAAAATAGATGTTGGCCGATTCTCAGACCTACCGAATATGCACACAAAATTTCATAAAAATCGGTAAAGCCGTTTCGGAGGAGTTTGGTAACAAACACCGCAACACGAGAATTTTATATATTAGATATTTATATTTGATTAATTTAATGTTTAACTTAGCTATGTTTATTACGTAGTTTGATAGGTACCTACCGCTATCTACGACTCTGAGCAAAGATATTCAAAACTGCGTAGTAAAAAACCATAGAGTTTAACAAAAGAAACAATTGACGAATTTCACCGATTTTCTTTTTTATGTACATAGATAATAGATGTAGAATATATTTACATAATGAATGTAGAACAATGAAAACGTAAACAAATAATTAGTTGACGCGACCATAAGACAGTCCGCTAATGTCCCATAGATAGTGTAAATAAAAAGTTGATTGAACGATTAGCGTTGTCATTAATTATATTTAAATAATGTGTCTGTCATCATTTTGGAAAAAAAAAGAAAGAAAGAAATATAATTTATCTTGTGACATCCATAGATATTAAAAAGCTAACAATAAAAACAAACTCTAGCCACTAAAAAAGCCCTTACTCGGCACGTGTCGGCGTTCCTTACGGCTCACCGACGCTGGTCTGCCATAAGAGTCTATATATAGAGATTTCGACATAACTTTATTACGTTTCTCTTTAAGTTCTATTAAAGCAGCGGGTCTACCATAAAATGAAATTCCGAAATTTCGGACCCAATTTCGTGTTTTTGTTTATACCAAAATCGGACCAATAAATGGAGTTTAACATTTCGTTCATCATACATCCTATTATAAAAGTCCAAAGGAACAATATTTTAACATTTTTAATATTTCCAAACGGCATGTATTATGTAATTTTAACATCAAATTTGTGTTTCGTTTGGCTCCGAAATTTCGGAAAACATTTCATGGTAGGCCCTCAGATTATATTTAACGTTAAAACATTTTTCAACTAAACTACGTACCCGGCATTGTTTGCAAGTCAATTGGAGATAAGCACGCAATAATACCTGTAATGACTAACTGCAGGGCGTGACAAATATTGAAGCATGTTTTGTCTGAGTGAATATTCAATGAAAAATTATAGATAGAAAAATAAATACCTTATTTGCATTAACAGACATACAAAAATTGTGATAATAGCAATAGAAAAAACAAATAGTGATCAACAAAGGGCGATAAAGACAGAATTTTTAATGTACCATTGTAACAATGTAACATACAGTGATGCAAAAATGCAATACCTCAGTGAGATGTTTGCTTAATAAACAAACCACTGGTTTTCAGTTACTGCCTAAAAAATTGTCTTTATCTAGTTCTGAGTAACTTTACCGGGGATTTTCATGCACGAGGATTGCTCCATAATTTTTAATGGGTGAAAATAGAGTGGTAATGATTAAGCTATCAGTATACACTAGTGACCAGCGAGAGATGCTAGATGGAGATAAAAGCATGTCAGTTGACTCATCGTGACCAATTCAACATTATATATTATATAAGGTCCAGGGGGAACCGCAAGGAGGTCGCAGTTGTTAGTTCTCATTATTAAAAATCCTTTCTCCTCCCCACTGACTTATTATTTTTTTTAATGGTTGATAATGGAATGGTAGCTCCGCCTGCGCTATCGGTATACACCGGTGGGGCACCAGTGACGGATTATAGATGAGGATGAAGCAGGTTAGTTAGACCACCGTAACGAATCTAACAATAAATCAATCACGATAGTTTCCAGGGGGAACCACGAGGAGGTCCACCTGACAGGGTATATTACTAGCAGTGGGGCTATTAATCCCCATTATTAACAATCCCGAAAATGTATAACAAAGAAATACATCTTAAAAGATTGATCTCCACGCGGTTCCCCCTAAAAATTATGTCCATTATTTTTTCGGCCAACTGAACTGTTTTCATTCTCAGCTTTTATCTCTCACTGGTACCTCGTCAGCATATAGTGATAATATAGACGGGGGTACTACTCCATCATTACCCATTAATTGAGGGCCGGTAGACAGCAGAGGTCGCCAGTTCGGGGGCCGACTACATACTTATTTGTTGCAGTATCCGGCCGTTCATTTACTTTCCTAATGCTCCTCAAATATTGCGTCTAAATTGCGCCCATCATGTACTCTCTTGTATAGGCATACCGTCGCCTGTATCCAATAGCGAGGACGGGATGCCTTAAATACTGTACCGCAAACCATAAAAAAAAATACCCATTATGTCCCATTAAAAATAAAAATCGGTAAAAAAACTTTTAAGTTAAACGGTTTTATTTTATGTGCACTGAAAACTACAAAATAAATAAATAGTTACTTACCTATCAACCTACGTAGGTGATCTCGGTCATTAATATCTCTGATGGTAGTGGTTGTCATAACATGAACCATGTCAGCGGCCGAAAGGCAGTTCATGAGAGAACACTAACACCAGGGTTTGCTTGGTAGGTAAACTAAGCAGCCCACACTATAACAAGTAGGTATTTTGACCTTCTAGTTCAGAAATATTTTAGTACTAGGCAGAATAGCTTTTAGGCATATTAGACTAAAATAAAAACGTGGGGCCCATTAACTATTTCTGTATTACTTTCTACTATACTAAGTGTGGATTACATCGACTTATTATAATCGTCATCATCATCATCCTAGCGGTTTATCCCGGTCGCATCCGAAACCTCATAGCTCCGGAGTCCAGAGTCCGCTGAATCGACTTACTATAATCGTAACTGGAGGTTTTGACCATCAATAACCAGCCGTTACGGCTTCACCAGCGAACGCCGAGCTCATGATCTACCAAAGTATAAGATATGCTCTGCTATAGGTATGATTTCAGAGGGGCCCCACGTTTTTATTTTAGTCTAATATGCCTAAAAGCTATTCTGCCTAGTACTAAAATATTTCTTGGGTAGTATAACTACCGCTTACTAACGAGGTATCTAATTACCAATTTTTTTTATCTGCCCCTCTAACGTCACACAATCTTAAGTTTAATAAACATAATCACAACTAACTTAAAGCAATTGTGAATAGGCTATTCGCGAGTCTACAAGCTTCGTCTAAGACCACATCATCACCATCCATCTGGTGAGATGTGTGTCTAGTGTCTGAGTGTTTGAGTGTCTAGTGTTTAGTGTCTGAGTGTCGAGTGTCGAGTGTCGAGTGTTGAGTGTTGAGTGTCGAGTGTCCGAGTGTCTAGTGTCTGAATGTCTGAGAGTCTAGTGTCTGAGTGTCTTGTATCCGAATGTCTAGTGTCTGTATGTCTAGTGTCTGGGTGTCTGATTGTCTAGTGTCTGAGTGTCTAGTGTCTGAGTGTCTAGTGTCTGAGTGTCTAGTGTCGAGTGTCTGAGTGTCTAGTGTCTGAGTGTCTGAGTGTTGAGTGTCGAGTGTCGAGTGTCGAGTGTCAAGTGTCGAGTGTCGAGTGTCTAGTGTTAGAGTGTCTAGTGTCTGGGTGTCTGAGTGTCAAGTGTCTGAGAGTTTAGTGTCTGAGTGTCTTGTATCCGAGTGTCTAGTGTCTGAGTGTCTAGTGTCTGGGTGTCTGAGTGTCAAGTGTCTGAGAGTCTAGTGTCTGAGTGTCTTGTATCCGAGTGTCGGAGTGTCTAGTGTCTAGTGTTTAGTATCTGAGTGTCGAGTGTCGAGTGTCTAGTGTCTAAGTGTCGAGTGCCGAGTGTCAAGTGTCTGAGTGTCGAGTGTCTGAGTGTCTAGTGTTTAGTGTCTAAGTGTCGAGTGCCAAGTGTCAAGTGTCGAGTGTCGAGTGTCGAGTGTCCGAGTGTCTAGTGTCTGGGTGTCTGAGAGTCTAGTGTCTGAGTGTCTTGTATCCGAATGTCTAGTGTCTGTATGTCTAGTGTCTGGGTGTCTGATTGTCTAGTGTCTGAGTGTCTAGTGTCTGAGTGTCTAGTGTCTGAGTGTCTAGTGTCTGAGGGTCTAGTGTCTGAGTGTCTAGTGTCTGAGTGTCTGAGTGTCTGAGTGTCTGAGTGTCTAGTGTCGAGTGTCTGAGTGTCTGAGTGTCTAGTGTCTGAATGTCTGAGAGTCTAGTGTCTGAGTGTCTTGTATCCGAATGTCTAGTGTCTGTATGTCTAGTGTCTGGGTGTCTGATTGTCTAGTGTCTGAGTGTCTAGTGTCTGAGTGTCTAGTGTCTGAGTGTCTAGTGTCGAGTGTCTGAGTGTCTAGTGTCTGAGTGTCTGAGTGTTGAGTGTCGAGTGTCGAGTGTCGAGTGTCGAGTGTCAAGTGTCGAGTGTCGAGTGTCTAGTGTTAGAGTGTCTAGTGTCTGGGTGTCTGAGTGTCAAGTGTCTGAGAGTTTAGTGTCTGAGTGTCTTGTATCCGAGTGTCTAGTGTCTGAGTGTCTAGTGTCTGGGTGTCTGAGTGTCAAGTGTCTGAGAGTCTAGTGTCTGAGTGTCTTGTATCCGAGTGTCGGAGTGTCTAGTGTCTAGTGTTTAGTATCTGAGTGTCGAGTGTCGAGTGTCTAGTGTCTAAGTGTCGAGTGCCGAGTGTCAAGTGTCTGAGTGTCGAGTGTCTGAGTGTCTAGTGTTTAGTGTCTAAGTGTCGAGTGCCAAGTGTCAAGTGTCGAGTGTCGAGTGTCGAGTGTCCGAGTGTCTAGTGTCTGGGTGTCTGAGAGTCTAGTGTCTGAGTGTCTTGTATCCGAATGTCTAGTGTCTGTATGTCTAGTGTCTGGGTGTCTGATTGTCTAGTGTCTGAGTGTCTAGTGTCTGAGTGTCTAGTGTCTGAGTGTCTAGTGTCTGAGGGTCTAGTGTCTGAGTGTCTAGTGTCTGAGTGTCTGAGTGTCTGAGTGTCTGAGTGTCTGAGTGTCTAGTGTCGAGTGTCTGAGTGTCTGAGTGTCTGAGTGTCTAGTGTCTGAGTGTCTGAGTGTTGAGTGTCGAGTGTCGAGTGTCGAGTGTCAAGTGTCGAGTGTCGAGTGTCGAGTGTCGAGTGTCTAGTGTTAGAGTGTCTAGTGTCTGGGTGTCTGAGTGTCAAGTGTCTGAGAGTCTAGTGTCTGAGTGTCTTGTATCCGAGTGTCTAGTGTCTGTGTGTCTAGGGTCTGAGTGTCTGAGTGTCTAGTGTCTGAGGGTCTAGCGTCTGAGTGTCTAGTGTCCGAGTGTCTAGTGTCTGGGTGTCGCAGTGTAGTCCTATTATTTGATACCCATATTGTGGTGGTTGTGGAAAAATATGTACCTAGTCCGCCATATTGGAACGGCGTCCATCTTGAATTTTAAATTTTGACATAATCATCGTGTTTTACTAGTGTAGCCCTTTCATTTGATACCCATATTGAGGGGGTTAAGGAAAAATATGTAATCCGCCATTTTGTATCGGCGGCCATCTTAGATTTATAATGTTATGGATTTTATTATATTGTATTGTCATCTAAATTAAATGTGTGTACCAAATTTCAGATCAATCTGACAACGGGAAGGTGCTTAAATTCCAATTTCTAATTTTGACCCAAATAAATAAATACCGTACAGGTTGAGCTAAATAAAACCGTTTAAAAAGACTTCAGTTATGGTAAAACCAGTTATTTTAATTATAAAACGAACTACTGAACCGATTTAATTAAAATTTCATGAAACCAATGTGTAAATATGCTATCAGATAAAAGAATTTTCCAAATCGGTTTATTACTGAAGGAATTATAAGGTAACACATATATAAAATGGAGGAGGCCAATGTCCAGCAGTGGACAATTAACGGGTGAATATCATATCACCCGTTAATGATGATGAAACATAAAAATGATTATGAACATGTTTGTAAATAAATTAGATAGCCCTTTCGTGAGAATGCCTGCCGAGAGGACTAGATCATTATTAGCGATTGAGTATTAACATAGTTTTTAAATACACTTACTAACAAAAAGTTATCTAAGACGAATAAATTAAATTAAATAAAAAAAAAATACAACCGATTTGTTAAACCTCCTTTTTTTTAAGTCGATAAAAATCATGTCTAAACTCTAATTTGATCAGCAGTAGGTAGCGCGGTCAAAACTTCAAACCTGTTGTAAATGACTCGATATTGTAAATTAAGGTATGATGTAATATAACGCCTCACAGTCATAGCTTTTGTGAGTTAATAATTTTTTTTTTTATGGCAGAAGTGTCACAATATGAAGAGCACAGATATGCGCCTACGTAGATTTAATGACATAGATAATGAATATGCCCTTGTGTGTGTGTATGTTTTATTAAAAAATTTGGACAGCAACTAGACACACTAATAGAAAGATAGATAGATACCCTTTATTGTTTCCTCCAAAAGATTACAATAGTAAACTTATTATAAATAAAAACAATTACAAGAAATAATCACAATGAGAAAATAATGGGCGAACTTATCGCTAAAAGCGATCTCTTCCAGGCAACCTTTGGATGGAGAGGAGTAAAATAAACAGTATTAATACAAATATTCTTAAATTTTTCTATCTAACATCGCTGTTTATTGTCAAGACAAGTAGTAAACGAATCTATTTACAAATCAGGAGCCTACCATGACATGTTTTCCGAAATTTCGGGGTCGAACGAAATACAAATTAGATGTAGAAATCGACTTGACAGGGTTTATTGCTAGCAATGGGAACTGACTTTCACATAACAATAATCTTACCAATAATCCCCTCCTCCCTGTAATTAGGCGTAATAACAAAATCTTGTAGAAATTCACTTGCGGCTATTAAGTAGTTTTTTTATACAACTTAGAATGGCAAACAAGCTGACGGCCCACCTGATGGAAAGTGGTAACCGTCGCCTATAGACATGAACAGTACCATGGACGTAACAGAGTATACTGTTTCGCCCATGATACTCCCCACGCGTTGCCATTCCTGAGGACTCAGATGTTAATCCTCTGTGCCCTGTAAATTCACGCCATATCCCATCCTTCAAACGGAAACACAGCCATGCAAACACAACTGCTTTACGGTTGAAACACGAATAGGACAGAGGTACCCAAGTAAACGACTTTTGTACAAAGTCTCCCTCTGGTAAAATGTTAATTTAAATATTAATTGATAAATGTTTTTAGGTAAAGTGGAGACATTAGCGGACGGTCGAGGCATACCGGTGGTTATACCAGAGGAAGATCACACATTCGTGCTGGATGAAGATGCACTGAGCGCGCTGCTGCTGCGCGAGGACGTGCGGGACCGCGCCGTCGTGGTGCTGTCCGTCGCGGGCGCCTTCCGCAAGGGCAAGTCCTTCCTGCTCGACTTCTTCCTCAGATATATGCACCACAAGGTTAGTTAATACGATACTGAATTTAACATCTAATCAAAACGATGAAATATATGAAGACGCCACGCCGACATAAACAGACCTCCCGTGTATGTCGGCTTAAAACCTCGTGAGCCGGAGGTGGTAGCCTCCGGAGTTGAAGCCGGGGCAAAGGGGTACGCCCCAAGGCCCCTACTTCGCCCGCCCACACCGTCTCGCGGGCAAAGAGAAGACCTGAATTGTTTGATTGAAATATCATAGGTTCATAGATAGGTTCACATCTAAGCGACTTAGATATTTTATTGTTTTGATTTTTAATAGTGACTTTGGTTTGTATTTTTTTTAGAAGAACTTAATATACAATTCTGGTTCATATATATGATTAATTCCATAGCTGTGACAGTAGATAACTTTATAATTTTGTCAATAAATTGAATTAACGTCAAGGGGGTTTACGTTTTTTAAAATGATGAATTCAGTACTTCTGTCCGATTATATATTTTCTGGTGACCTGCCGAAAAACGTGAGGAGAATATTTTATAATGATTACTCGTATTTAAATGTTTTCATACACATGCATGAATGCAATGTCCATTTGCATTCAACTTCTTTTTAATTTGTGTCCTGTAAATATACTTACATACTTTACAGATTTTTCAATATATATTTTTTTTTTCAGTACATTTTAGGAGAAAGTGGAGAGGGTTGGTTGGGTGCGGATGATGAGCCGCTAAAGGGCTTCAGCTGGAGAGGTGGCTCCGAGAGGGATACCACCGGGCTCTTGCTCTGGTCGCAGCCCTTCAAGGCGACCCTCGCCAATGGAGAGAAGGTAATATGTCGTATTGGTACTCTCGATGTATAGAATTTTTTTTTTTAACCTGTATATGTAAATAACATTAAAATAAGAGTATTATTATTACTACAAAAAATATTACACGGTGTAAAAAAGCTACATTTTTTCTTCGTCATGGGGAGTGTCGTTAAAAACTTTCCTATGGGCGCCAGGTGGCCTAAGGGTGGTCCTGGTTATGGCTCATTTCTTTGTCTATGCCTTAATTTCCAGGTAGCAGCAAATTAGGCGTGATACTGCGTTCACGTCTATAGAAGCAATAAAAATTTCTATCAGGTGGGTCGCCAATTTGTCATTTTTTAATCGAACACTCTGTTTCTATTCTACAATTTCCAGGTAGTAATCTTCTTGATGGATACACAAGGCACGTTCGACAGCGAGTCCACGGTTCGCGACAATGCCATTGTGTTCGCCCTGTCCACGATGCTGTCGTCTGTGCTCATATACAACCTCTCTCAGAATATTGAAGAAGACGACCTTCAGCATTTACAGGTGGGTGCGGTTCTTTCCTTAATTTGATTAAAATCAGAGTCAAAATATAATCTGCAGTTGGTTCCTTATCTGCAAAGAGCAGCTTTAATCATCATTTAAGTAATTGGGACCTATTCTTGGGAGTAATCATTACTGATTATAAAAATCAGAGTACATCTATATGTGTAACATAGCCATAAAAAATCAGACGAATGGAAAGTCTACTTCTTTTAAAGTCTTTATCTTCTTTAAACTTCGTTTTTAAAGATCTCTATGGAGAACGCACGAAGATGATCCAATGTGTTTTTAACATACCCGCAGTTGTTTACCGACTACGGCAGCCTTGCACAAGAAAAGAGTGTTGGGAAGCCATTCCAGCGGCTGCAGTTCCTCATCAGGGACTGGAGTGTCCCCTATGAGTATCCTTACGGCGCGCAAGGAGGCTTGAAACTTCTGCATAAACGACTTGAGGTGATGTTTCTTTATAAATAATTGTCATTACTTTCTTTTTTATATTGCTGTGTGATCCTGGCATGGCGTGAATTTACTGGGTACAGAGAAATAACACCTGAGTCCTCAGGAATGGCAACGCATGGGTGGTATCATGGGCGAAACAGTATACTCTGTTATGTCCATGGTACTGCTCATGTCTATAGGCGACGGTTACCACTTTCCATCAGGTGGGCCGTCAGATTGTTTGCCATACTAAATTGTAAGAAAAAAATCCTGGCATAGAGTGGGCCACCCCTTCTTTTCACGTGGGTGTCGTAAGAGTCTAAGGGAGCTTAATAGTAGAGGGATGGGCAGCAGCGTCTCTATTAAAACAAAAGATTGCTTAAAACATTACCAAAGTCTATCTGCGGGTGACAATTCACCTGCCAAGCGTGACAATTACTGGCAACTCCCCAAAAAAAAAAGTATTACGAAGATTTCTTTTCAAATATAGAATATATTTGTACCTGTATAGTTGTATATTTCTGTTATCTATGTTAAATTAAGATATCTACTTGAAGGTGCACGAAGGTCAACACAAAGAGCTGCAAACTCTCCGCCAACACATCCAGGCGTGTTTTGAGGAGCTGGCCTGCTTCTTGATGCCGCATCCCGGGCTCAATGTTGCCACCAGTCCCGAGTTTAACGGAAAATTGGCGGGTAGGTAAAATGTATTAGCAAATGCCCAACAAAATATATAGTACTTAGCGAGATTAACTATTAAATATTTCTCGATTTGCCTAATGGTTGAATTGTAGAGAACACCGTCCGCTGTTAAATTTAAATAAGTAAATAAATAAATATCGGTATTTGAAATTTTGTTTCTGTTAACCGTTCGTAAATTTTACATTCTTACTTACAAAATGAAATTAATCGTCCGTCAACGGTTATTAGTGGACTGTATGAAATTTAATACAATGATGGTAGTTAACATAAGAAACACAAGCGGATAATGAAAGTGGAGACCACTGACCTGAAGCTTTGTAGTTAGCAGGATTCGGTTCTGGCTTTAGGCTTCCCAGTACTTCTGGCTCGTTCGAACTTACCCTCAGATCCGGGTTACCTATCCACCGCCTTGAACCGACCAGCAGTGCAATGCCCTCCTCTCAATCAGCCTCTTGGTTATGTGTGATATAATTAAAAGCAATACGAAACGATATATATTAATTTATACGATATTCGCGACAATATATGCACGCGCGCGATAATATTCGAAAAACGAGAACGACGACGACGAACGCACGTTCTACCGACACATTCGATAACAATAGACAAGACTTTTTTTTTTTCTTTTTTACGATATTGTTGCCAGGTGAAATTTATTAAAGCTACAATTCTTAACAGTTCCTGTGAAGTATAGTTATCTACCAACAATATCCAGGATTTACGCACATAATTCGGCAATAGGGTCGATCGATTATAAAAAATTTCAGTGGCTTAACAATTGTTGCTTCATTGGTTTCTCTACAATCACCTCTTATGATCTCCAAGAGACAAAAAGAATATTATGTTCTCACTTACATTACTTTTTCCAGATATAAGGGACGAGTTCAAAACATCTTTGAGACAGTTGGTCCCAATGCTGCTTGCACCAGAAAACTTGGTGCCGAAACTCATCGGGGGGCAGAAGGTGAAGGCCAAAGACCTGATGCAGTACTTCAGGGTGTACATGAACATTTTCAATGGGTCAGAACTGCCCACACCGAAGACTATACTAGAGGTACATATAATCACTAGTAGTAATAATTATTAAGAACTAGCGATCCGATCCGGCTTTGCATGGGTAGATAGAATTTTCAAAAATAATTTTGTTATTTGATAGTTATTTATCGCCTCTAGGTTGTTCGGATTGATACCTACTGCTGATTTTCAACCCGCCACAAACTAAAGTTTCATCCCAATCATCTGGACGAGTGGCGGTCTTCCACCGTGCGTTTTTCATGGCACTTTCTTCCACGCACAACCATTCTTTAGAATCAACTTCCAGCAGCAGTATTTCCGAACCGATACGACAATATAACCTTCAAGAAAAGAGCATATTCCTTTTTAAAAGGCCGGCAGCACACCTGTAATGCCGCTTGTGTTGTGGGTGATCATGTGCGGCGATAGTCACTTACCATCAGGTGAGCCGCATGCTCGTTTGCCCCTGTGTTGTAAAAAGTAAAAATAAAAAAGGTATTAATATGACGGAGAGAAATAAAACACATTTGATCGGATCACTTCTATTTGTAGACAAAAACAGTTACCCGCCAAATATAATTATTATAAAAATCTAGGTGTACCCACATACATCACAATAATATAGGTACATATAGTGTCCCATTCGTGTTTCAACCGTGAAGCAGTTGTGTTTGCATGGCTGTGTTTCGGTTTGAAGGGTGGGATATGGCGTGAATTTACTGGGTACAGAGGAATAACACCTAAGTCCTCAGGAATGGCAACGCATGGGGGGTATCATGGGCGAAACAGTATACTCTGTTATGTCCATGGTACTGCTCATGTCTATAGGCAACGGTTACCACTTTCCATCAGGTGGGCCGTCAGCTTGTTTGCCATTCTAAGTTGTATAAAAAAAAAAAAGTCAATGTTGACGTGTGAGTATCGGCATAGAATAGGCCATCTCTTCCTTTCCTGTGGGTGTCGTAAGAAGCGACTAAGGATAAGCGATGGGTAGCAACATCCTTCTTAAAACATCACCAAAAGCTAAATTGCGGTTGCCAATCTGCTGCCAAGCGTGGCAACTACTGGCAACCCTGATTCGGAAACAGTTACAGTCGAGAAGAGACTAAGACTAATTTCTTGATTTGCTCTTTATTGTGTTGTAATAACTGCTTTAAAATTAGGCCACGGCAGAAGCCAACAACTTGTCAGCGGTGGCGGAGGCGCGCGATGTGTACGACTTCATCATGGACGAGGTGTGCGGAGGCGCCAAGCCCTACCTGGACCCTCGCAGGCTGGAAGACGAGCACCGGCGTGCCAAGGACAAGGCGCTGCATGCGTTCCATAGCAAGAAGAAAATGGGAGGGGGAGAACTTGCCGACTCTTACAGAGAACGACTAGAAAAGGTAATCCTAATTTTATAAATGAAATTAGTGGGATATTTAATTTGACACTAAATCTATTAAAATATTTATTTATTTAAACTTTAATGCACAGTAAAATTCTATGTACATTTGAAAATATGTGGAGGATGCTTTGCTCTTTTGAGGGCGAAGCAATAAACTGAGTTGTGGCCATTTTGTATTGCTATGGCACACTCACAAACGAAAATTGTATTTAGCTTTGTGTATTATTATTATTTTTTTCTTATTTATGTTATCTCGCTATTTTTTTATATATGTATGTTGTAATTTGTGTGCTGTAAGTAATGCAAATAAATTATTTATTTATTCAAATTTATTTGCATTTTCAATGTTTCAACGATTTTTAATTAGTTTTTTTTTTAATCCAAATTTTGCTTTCGTCGTCTCGTAATAACGATTTGTCAAAATCACTCATAAAGTCTGCTCCTCTAATATTTTTTTTTTATGACTTATTAACGAAAATTTAATACTAATAACATATGATAATGTAATTATCAGGAGATTCAGGAACAGTATCAGCAGCTGCAAGCGCACAACGAGGGTAAAAACATATTCCGCATGGCGGGCACGCCGGCGGTGCTGGTCGCGCTCGTGATCCTCGGCTACCTGCTGAGCGTGCTCGGCGGCGCCTTCGGCCTCCAGACCCTGGTGGCTGTGGGCCAGATGATCATTATATCGTCCACCGTTACGCTAGGCGTGTGGGCCTATAGCAGGTAACTCATACCTTTTTTATATCTAACTATATAGACCTTTATATATGATTTGAAAAAAATTTTTTTTTTCTATATACAACTTAGAATGGCAAACAAGCTGACGGCCCACCTGATGGAGAGTGGTTACCGTCGCCTACAGACATGAGCAGTACCATGTACATAACAGAGTATACTGTTTCGTCCATGATACCTCCCATGCGTTGCTATTCCTGAGGACTCAGATGTTATTCCTCTGTACCCTGTAAATTCACGTCATAAATCTATAGACCTAACTTGTTTATGAAACGATAACGTCATTCGCTTAAACTTTCAATTTTTAATTACTTTTTTCATCGTTTTTCTTCAGAGTTCAAAATATCTCATCAAAATCGGTTAATTAAGAGTGTTATTAATATAGACTGAATAAAAATTAAAGGTTTTTGCAATAGAATAAAATGATAATAAAAGTGAACGTTACAAAATGTAGTAATGTAACGAAAGATTGAAATTTTGGCCGACTTTTATTTAACTGATAATTACATAATTTCTGGTGACGGTTAACACCGTTAACAAATCTAATTAACCTAAAAGACATCGACGGGCTCTCCTCCTGTCTCGCTAACGCAACCAATTATCTATGATTATTTGAAAAAAAGAAATATTGCCGAGTTTTTCGTTTCATGCTTGCTTGTTTCTATCTCTCTCTTCAGTCGTGTACTCTTGACAGAGTGGTCGTGCTTTTTATGATGATAGTGGATTGTCGATGTGGCCCTCCTTCGCGACTGAGGTCCTCGCAATGCGTCACCATCTACTTCTGCTCACAGTCGAGCGAGAGCATTTCGTAATAGATTGTTTTTATACTTATCCATAAAATTTATAAAATGAATTTCAATTTATTACCTCAGGATAAGTGGCAACATGCGCGATATCAGTCTGCAGATTGACGGAGTCGCTGACACAGTACGAAACTACGTAAGTATATTTAATATAACCCTGATATATTAATAAAATTGCCTCGCGGTCCCGGCATAGAATGGACCACCCCTTTCTTTTTCGGGGGTGTCGTAAGAGGCGACTAAAGGAACGTAAACGCTAACTGCGATAACCAGGGGGGAAAGGGATTGTTAGTGATGGAGACTGAGAATCCCATTGCTAGCAATATATCCAACCAGGTCGACCTCCTCGCGGTTCTCCCTGGAAACTATCATGGTTAATTCCTGATGAATTCATCATGATGGGCTAACTGGCCTGTTTTCATTTTCATCTATCACCCTTCACTGGTGCTCCGCCAGCGTATCCCGTTAGCGCAGGCGGAGTTACCATACCATTTTCACCCATCGAAAAACTGCAACTACCAAGGGAAAAAGGAATCATTAGTAATGAGGATCTGACAACTCCATTGCTAGCAATATACTCTATTAGGTCTAACTTCACGTGGTTCCCCCTGGAAACCATCTTGGTTAATTTTTTTCGAATTCGTCACGATGGACTAACTGACCTGCTTTCATCCTCACCTGTCAGCCCTCACTGGTGACCCGTCAGCATATGCCGATAGCGCAAACGACGTTACCATTCCATTTTTTTAATGGGTGATAATGGAATGGTAACCCCACCCGCGCTATCGGTATACACCGGCGGGGCACCAGTGAAGGATGATAGGTGAGGATGAAGCAGGTCAGTTAGCCTATCGTGACGAATTCAACAAGAATTGTTCACGATGGTTTCCAGGGGGAACCACGTGGAGGTCGACCTGATAGGGCATATTGCTAGCAATGGGGCTGTCAAACTCCATTAACTAACAATCCCTTTCTCCCCCCAACTGGGATTAAAAAGTAGCTTATGTCTGCCTTCTCTATCCAATATACTAAGATTATACAGATAGTGTCTCAATACAAATGCTTCGGAAAAAGTGGGTCAAGTTTTTCATACAATTTTGCGTGATAAATAGTTGAGTGATTCCTTCTTCTATATGTATTTTATCTTATAATTTCTGCACCTTTTTAATGTGTAAATACTCATTTTATTTATTAAATATTACGTCAAAATACATTATATGCGTAATTATATAAAACACTGATAAAAAAATGAGTCAGCTAATTTGACAATTAGCTGACAAAAAGTTGATTCGTTTTCGAGACTCGATACTCTATCTATATATTGGGGGGAAAGGGATTGTTAGTAATGGAGTTTGACAGCCCCATTGCTAGCAATATGTCTTATTAGGTCGACCACCACGTGGTTCCCCCTGGAAACCATCGTGAACAATTCTTGTTGAATTCGTCACGATAGGCTAACTGGCCTGCTTCATCCTCACCTATCATCCTTCACCAGTGCCCCGGCGGTGTATACCGATAGCGCAGGTGGGGTTACCATTCCATTATCATCCATTAAAAAAAAACTATCTATATAATCTAAACATGCACTATAGGTGCGTGTATGCCAAATTTCATAGCGATTGATAAAGCTGTTAAGGTGCTATAAGGTGACAAACAAACTCACTTTCACAATTATAATATTAGTAAGGATATATTTAGTTTATAATTTGTTTTTTTTGGCGTGTAACAGGTGATGCGCCAAGCGGTTGGCGGGGCATTACTCCACTCGACAGATTCCAGTGCGGACAAGAAGAGCTCATAACACGAACGCTGCAGTGGAGCTGTACTGTGTAATATGGACGGATGCTTTAAGATCAGTGTTGTGTGCGCAAGTGGATTTTTAACTTTGAAGTACATTTTCTCCCCCCATCACAGGCATATTTGAGGGGGTGGGGCGGGCCGTGCCCAACCTGGAATTGTCTAATGTCCACCCCAGAATCCGAGTGGAGTTACGCAAAAAATATCTGAGAGTACATAAACCTATTATAAGGGGCCAGTTGACGGCTGGAAATTAAACTTAAATATGCTAACGTTTCCGATATTCTGCCGGAGTTTGTTGGAGTCTGATGATTTTAATAAAGTATTTTTATCAGGTAAGAAGAGGTATAAGTTTGAAGTCTTCGTCTATACCAGGGGTGGCCAATCGGTCGATCGCGACTATTAGTCCAGTCGATCATGACGAGGAAAAAAATTCATTTTTTTTATGCTACTTAAAATGACAAACAAGCTGACGGCCCACCTGATGGAAAGTGGTAACTATCGCCTATAGACATGAGCAGTACCATGGACATAACAGAGTATATTGTTTCGCCAATGATACTTCCCCCTCCATGCGTTGCCATTCCTGAGGACTCACATGCTATTTCTCTGTACCCTGGAAATTCGCTGCCATATCGCACCCTTCAAACCGAAACACAGCCATGCAATCACAACTGCTTCATTGTAGAAACACGAATGGGACAGAGATATCCAAGCAAACGACTTTTGTACAAAGTCCCCCTCTGGTAAAATTTTGCTAATCCAGCGGTAGATGCTCAGACGCAGTGCTCACACTAATATAAATAAGTAGTTACTAAGAAATATTTCAGTTGTTTTTTTATACAACTTAGAATGGCAAACAAGCTGACGGTCCACTTGATGGAAAGTGGTAACCGTCGCCTATAGACATGAGCAGTACCATGGACACGACCGTTTTATGTTTACTCTCTTAATAAAATAAAAAGAAATAGTATAATACGACATAATTTTGTACTGGACTTTTTTTTAATGGGTGATAATGAAATGGTAACCCCACCCGCGCTATCGGTATACACTGGCGGGGCACCAGTGAAGGATGATAGGTGAGAATGAAGTAGGGCAGTTAGCCCATCGTGACGAAATCAACAAGAATTGTTTACGATGGTATCCATCGGGAACCATAATAGGGTATATTGCTAGCAATGGAGGTGTCAAACTCCATTGCTAACAACCCCTTTCCCCCTGTGTACTGGACTATGTTGTTTCATTTGTGATTTCAAGATGTATGTAATTGGTAGATCGCACAGGGTTTTGTTAGTAAATAATAAATCTTGGGTCTAGTCAAGTCGGCCACCCCTTCTCTATATTATGTGCTTATCTGTGAAAGACCGATTTCAGTACAGTTTTTTTATTTAAAAGCTATAATAATCGGTATATTTACCTATGTTATTGGGGAATTAGACAAACCACCGCTGCTATAGCTTTGAAAATCTGGTTAAATATTACAAATAGGTAATATCTACATTGAGTGAGTTTATCTGAATACTGTAAGCATCTCTTACATGTTCGAGATATCCAGGCTTTGGAGGAAGATTAGAAAATTGGATTTATGGATTATTTTTTTCTTTTATTTAAAAAATGGGAGTATTTTGTTAGATAATAGAAAAATAATTTTATATTTATATAACTAACAGTGCTTACATAGCTGACTTACTCACAGTGATTTATATATTTTTTTTTTATTTTTTTTTTTTTTTTTTTTTTATACAACTTAGAATGACAAACAAGCTGACGGCCCACCTGATGTAAAGTGGTAACCGTCGCCTATAGACATGAGCAGTAGCATGGACATAACATATATATTTTAATATTGCCCACCTGTCTTCCATTTTATGTGGTTGCTGCAAATATTTATACTCACGATTCTACAAGATACCTACTTATTTATAAGATAGATACCTCTCCCCTCCAGTTCCTCTGGAGACCTCTGGCGGAGAGTTTCTATGGTAAAATCTACCCATAGATATACTTTTGCTAACACTTAAGATAGAATGAGATAACGATGCCAGCATTGTATTAATAAAGTCCTTAGAACAGAAATCTATTTTGTACATCATTCATTCTCATAATTATGCAGTAGTAAAAATGTGTCTAACGATGAATACATTTGACATTTGTTGAAGAAGGTACTCTTGTACAAAGGTATATTTTGTGCATACGAAAAACATTTTGAATAAAAAATATTATCGACGTATAATTTGCTTTGTTTTTGAAAGCAAATATGTACTTAAATAAAAGCTTATTATATTTCTAATGTTTCGAGCAAAATGTCTATTTATATGTACTGTTAAAAATCCTGTAAATATTTTAGATATTTTATTGACGGACTCAATGTAACAATAACATAATTTTTGTGACAATGTTAATAATAGAATAAGTTTGAAAATATTTTTCAATTTTAAAATTTGTTAAGTGCTTACCTATATATGTAGGTATAGAAAATAATAAAATGCATTATAAAAATCAAACTTTATTAATATAACAACCCGTTATAACTTACTATTTAAATTCATCACTAACATGGCATTTCTATATCAAAACTGTTTTAATATTATTTATGTTGATATGAGGCGATGGGATTGCTTACCCCATGCACTACTCTCTATGCAATCCTTTACTGCTTCTAACAATCATGTTAGAAGCAGTAAAGGATTGCATAGAGAGGATACAGAGCATTCTAAAATATTTTAGTGCTAGCAAATAGTCCAATAGAACCTACTGGGGGAAAAGGGATTGTTAGTAATGGGGTCAAATAGCCCTATTACTAGCAATATACCCTGTCAGGTCGACCTCCACGTGGTTTCCCCTGGAAACCATCGTGACTAATTCTAGTTTAATTCGTCAGGATGGGCTAACTGACCTACTTTCATCTTCATCTGTCATCCCTCACTGGTGCCCCGCCAATGTATACCAATAGCGTAGACGGGGTTACCATAAATATCACCCATTAAAAAAAAAATAGAACCTACTCAAATGAGCGTAAGTTTGAGTGTGTTAGAATAACTAGTTACTTCACGCGACTTTTATTTGTATACCCATAGTATAGTATTATATTATCTATGCTCATAGACATCTCGTCAATGGCGGATTTACACTTCGCCACTAGTAAGCTATTTAAATTTTGCCTGCCCCTACCGACCTTTAAAATTCCATTTCTTAGCTCACCATCAATTATATTTTTTGTCAAAGAAATAGTAACTATTATAAGAAAGTTGGCATCAAATTTGATGCAATTTTTTTTTCAGCGGTAAATACGCCGCTGCATCTCGTATTGGGAGAGCAGTCGTCGACTCAGTAGTATATCGTTTATAGGGTAATGTCTAAACAAAAATAATACGCAGTTAGTAGGTATAAAATCTATATGTAACTATTATTATAAAAAAAAATGATATAATCACCCTTATCCCAATTATAATATGTTAATTTTTAATATTTAATAATTAATATTTGCATGCCATTCGATGTGGCGAAACATAATGGACATCTTATAAACTTCACAAGTGCAACACCTTTTCTACAATGTTTCTAGCAAATAAATTTAATTTAATTTCATTTTTATCCATATTACAAAAAGATTTGGCTTATAGTTTTACGACCGGCCACCTGCCTGACGTCAACATAATCAAGTGTATATTTGTGCAGTGTAGACGATCCCCCACTAGATGGAGTGACGACCTGAAATACAATGTAGGGAATTAGTGGATGCAGGTGGCTCAGGGCCGTCCTTTATGGCAGTCTATGGGGGAGGCTTATGTCCAGCAGTGGACGGATAATGGCTGAATGATAATGATGGTGATGAAGTGGGTATATAGTAGTTTTTACTACTTTAAGATTCCCTAAGAAGTAGGTAGAGAGAGCATAATGTATAAAAATGTATAATGACACACTTATGTAGTATTAATTTCCTTGCAATTTTTTTACGGTGTCCTATATGACAATGAAAAATTCAAAAACAAGGGTGCCATCTTTTACTGAGATATCCTAGGCATAATTCGAATACTGGAGAACACCATAGATAAAAAAAAATACTCACGTATAGATATAACGGTAACAATAAACACAAACACCTAAATATTGGGGGGAAAGGGATTGTTAGTAATGGAGACTGAGAATCCCATTGCTAGCAATATACCCAACCAGGTCGACCTCCTCGCGGTTCTCCCTGGAAACTATCATGGTTAATTCCTGATGAATTCATCATGATGGGCTAACTGGCCTGTTTTCATTCTCATCTATCACCTTTCACTGGTGCTCCGCCAGCGTATCCCGTTAGCCAAGGCGGGGTTACCATACCATTTTCACCCATCAAAAAAAAAAAACACCTAAATATAATACATATTTAGGTGTTATCCGTCGTCAGTGGGTAACTAATAAAACAAATGTCCAATTTTAAAAAATAATATTTTATTGTCGAAATAGGGTAGTAGTAAGAATACAATGTTTGTCTCCGGTTGTCTTGTATCATATTTATTTTTTACATTAAAAAATAAAACATAGACACCATCCAGAACAACGTTTATAAGTAGAGAGGCGTAAAACAGGTTTGTTAACACGATCATTTAGTCTACTGTACACAATTATTTTTATATATAAAAAAAATATGTTAATAATTACAAATAAAACAATTACACCCTATTTTCTCTTACTCAGTTTATATAGTAAGCAATCGAGGCATTATTTTTACTAAAAACATTGCACAAAATAAATAAAAGACTGTGTCAATTGATTATATATTATAGTAGATTTTTATAAGCCCTATTTTTAAAGGATTAACTTTGTTAAAAAAGGAATACATACCTAGATTAATTATTAAATATTCCGAGTAAGAAAAAAAATCGGATCATACGCAACTAACATTACAATTTGACATACTCTCTATTTTTTATAAAAAAAAAAAAAACGACTTGGTATATTTGTTATTTGTTAAGCAGTCACACAATTGACTAGCTCAAAATCGTAAACCAAAAAAAGCCAAAGTTTGGAAGAACGAATGTAAAGTGTAATTTTGGCACAAGAGAGTGTTTACAATATACATTTATTACTCTATGGTCATAAATTTATTGATATTATGGAAGTTAGGCACTTCTGGCTTTTATTTACATAAGTTTTATGTACAAGTGTATGTTTTTGGTGTTAGGAGTATGTTATGATGAAATTTTATTGAAAGAATTTAAAAAAATGACAATCTGATCTGTTTTGTACAAATAGAAGATAACTGAAAATTTACAAAGTTTATTATATAGTTGTTAGTAAATAGAATAAAACTTAATTTTAACTTAATTTGCAATTTGAATTGTATGGTATAACAATTCTCAGAAAACTACCATTGTCAGTTTTGTCTGTGAGCGACTGAGTTACTTTTTATATACCGTTCAGAATGCTCGACTAGATTAGGAGCTAAAAAAAAAAAAAATAAATACAATCGATTATTATTGATCACTGTTGATTGTTAAAAAATATCAAGAATAATTTCATACAGTTCATACAGATGGAGCGATAGACATTGTATGGCTGTATGATTTGAACGTTATTTGTAAAATGATTTCTGATTTGTAAGTATACTACAAAAATCACGGCTTGATATGCCCATCACAGTATCGCAAACAGTGACAGATATTCGAGAACACGTCAAAGATAACGATCACCTTCTACATTATTACTATTTTGCTTTCTTTTCATTAATTTTAAAATCTAATAAATGTTATTTTATTACGTACAAGACGAAAGCTTTTTTTTTTATTTTATATACAAAAGATAAAGTGGTCGAGTCTCGATCTTTGAAGCGTTCCCCAAACACGATGTATAAAAGTTACATGTAAATTCTTGAAACTTATTTCAATGATATTTTTGGCAGCTCCTTTGTATAATAAAACATTGTAATGTTACAATACGACTATAAGTATGTTGAGCAAATAAAACGGGGGAGTATATATATATATATATATATATATATATATATATATATATATATATATATATATATATATATATATATATATATATCTGAGGGACTCTATGAAAATTTCAATAGTGGTTACATTGTAATAATAGAATCTCTATTACTGTTACACTGTCATATAATCTATTTATATCTGTATTTGGCACAAGTGGTAATAAATCTTGCCATGTCTTTTTATCTAATTTATTAATTAACAATTTTTTGTATTCTTTAATTATATATTATTGCATATTATTACTTTTTGTCTATTTTATTTTTAAATGACTAAATTCGTTAGTAAGTGTATCGGTGTTGCTAACGTATTAAAATCAGGGATGTCCCACTAATTGAGCACTCGATAAGAGCTCTCATTCATGAGCGCGGATCACATTTAATACATGATTCCATTCATGAGTTACCATTCTTGCTATGATGTAATGGAATCCAACATCTGCAGCTATAAGTGTATAGATTGATTAACATGGCATGCCCCTTCAACTATTTACTTCAACGTGTGTTGTGTTTGTGAGGAAACGTCTTCAGTATTGATCTGGCCATAGGAGCATTATACTCCTTGGCCGAAACCTTAGAAATATATCTACTCACACATTTTTTATTTCTTTGGATTGTGGCGGGGAGTGCTATGTTATCGTAGACAAAATCTATACATGAAAATGGTACGAATAACAATTGTATATTTATATGACAGTGTTATAAGTCTGTAACCTAACCGACAATTGGTGCACTTAAAGACTTACAGCACAGAGTAGTTTAACTGAATGTGTTTTTATATTACAAATAGATCCCCACATACAAAGCTATACATACATGTATATAAATAAAGACAAAAAAAAAATAGAAAGCTGTCACACAACCACAATAACATAATTTGTGAATCATACATCATCACCACACTTAGATTTGTATATTTATGGCAAGAGGAGCCATTTAAGAGAAAAAAAAAAAATAGATTAAAACAAACGGAGTATCCATGTTTGTATCTAGAAAACATTAATAAACTCTGAAAGACCAACAAACGTAATTATGTTCCCACGATGCAAAAGACCAAATACCTTATAAACAAAAAAAAAAAATTGGCACACACAATGCTGGTAAAAATTTGGATATGTCCAGTCGAGTAAAAACTATTTACAAAATAGAGTTATTAAAAACTTTGATTGTAACTTTCCGTCATAAAAACATATATATACACTTTATAATGCCATCAATATGTAAAATGAATAAAAAGAAAGTAAGTAAAAAGAGAGAGCCCTTCATACGCTTTCTATTTTTACCCAATGGTTAGCTGGTAGAGAATGCCATATGGCATTAAGCTCGCCATTTGTACAAAATTTTACTGTGCAATAAAGAATAAATAAATAAATAAATATGTACATTTATTTGAAAAGTTGGTTTTGAGGTAGTTATACTTCAAATTGGTTCTTCAGACCATTTTTTTTTGCTAAGTATAAATTGATATCTTTTGTTGCCACTGTCAACCTATGGGTTACCACCAGTTTTATCAAAATTACCAAGTTTTATATCAACAGAGAATATTTTTAAACCCTGTCACTATAAGAACCAGAACATAAAGTGGCAAAAAGTTACAATCAATGTTCTTAAGCCAAATTAACATTACTAAATTATTGGTTTTGACCCACGATATCACACTGCATGCATTACAAAACTAGAAATCTACTAAATTGTAGAAATAAATGGTAGAATTATTTCATGGTATTAATTTTCTACAACTAACTTTGTAATGTTAATGTAGCTTAAATGCAATTTTAAAATTTGATGTACAAGTTAAAATAGACTACGTTTAAGTACATTGTCTGTGCAATATAACAAGTGTGTGTGGGACTGGAGCCACAATATTTTGATCTACAAAAGGGATATGATTCGAAAAAATTGTGCCACCTATATTTAATTTCTACTGTTACTAAAGTTTATTGTAAATCCTATTTAACATTACATCCAAATTTCTCTTTTCACAATTAATATTTCAATCCACCACAATTTTGATTTTATCCAATAAAAGTCTGTTGTGTTAATCTGTTTGTTTGTACATTATATTGTCATAAACTTGACCCGCGGACCGAGTTAAGATAACCAATCTGTTATTGGCAAATTATATAGTGTTAATGTGATCCCAAACTCCCTAAACTATTTGAAAACAGCTGCTTTCTAAACAATTGTATGTATGTATACATATATACCTTGACATAGACTAAAAACCCTAAGGTATTAATTGAAATATGAAGAAGTTCATATAAATATTTGTAAAGCTATTCCCACATAGTCTTTGGGCATATTTACAAATATCTAAACATAAGCCTGGGACCGCCTTAGTGCTGACCTCTTGAGATGGAAAAGCACGAATCATGATGTGCTAGTTTTGACATAAAATGTAAAATTTCATTGTTAAAAAGTTGATAAAACATGATGCACTTATATACTTTATATGAATCGTTATTTATACTCAATATTGTAAAGATTACAATACAGAAAAATCTCGTACTGCACCTGCGTTTGGGAATATTATTAGCAACTGAATTCAACAAAACTAGTGACTTATGCTTTTCCTTCTTAGCAGAGCAGAAGAGTAGTTTGAACACAAATCCACCGCCCTCGTAAATTGATAACAAATTAACACAACAATATTAATTCTATTAAACTACGACTAAATTAAAAAATTCACTATCAACTGTACAAACAACCACTAATCAAACGCCTCGTTCCCCCACCATTCTAGTCCATTCTCATCGATCACTAAACACCAAGTGCACACGTCCAAACGGTCACAGTACCACGCACACGACTCACTGCTACTACCCACTATATCGATCGAACCTTCGTCGACGGGTCGGCGACACGAGACGCGGGCTCGTCTCGCCCCAAGCTTCACACGCTTGTAGAGTGCGGATGGTCGGCTGGCCGCCAGTGCGCGGCCGAGGCCGGCGGCGGCATCACAACTGCTTGTGCTTGCCGTTGTGCGTGGGCGTGGACGGGCCCAGCGCCCGCTCGGCGGCCGCGGCTGCCGCGTGCTCCATGCCCTTCTCCAGGCACGTCTGGTACATCGGCTTCATTATCTGACAACACATATACTTAGTATTATATTTGCATTGATTATAAATATTTATTATTAATCATAACTGCAAGATATGTCTGAAGTTAGTTTTAAGTTCGATACACCATTTTTGAGACGTCATTTATAAACTTATCGTTAAATTTAAATGTTCTATTTAATTGTATTATATCAGTCATTAACTGTTAAACACTTGTAAATAAACAGGATTAAAAAAATAGAAGTGAATAACGTTCAACGGGTCACTTGTGCGAATGGGTGTACCTCAAGGGTCTATTCTGGGGCCATTCCTATTTTTTGTTTATATTAATGATCTCGCTTTTGCCATGCAGCACATATGTAGTGCAGCACAGTATTGTTCACAGATGATACTTCTTTGATTTTAAAAGGGAACCGGTCTAACATTTGAACCGGTGTTTAATACACCTTATTGTCGCTCTAGCACTTCCAATACCGATTTTCTGTATAACAGTACAATGTTACTATATAAAAAAAATTTATAAATTATATTTGTTAGTCCAGCTTCATAATGAGATATATAAATATAATAATGAGAGCGACATGTAGACAGATGTTGACACTTACATTATCCCATAACATGTTGGCGGTGTCGTCTATAGTGACACCCACTTCACGCATTTCGCCGCTGTACCTGTAATATTGAAAAAATATATATATATTTATTTACATTTTATTGCACTATTTAAAAAATGATAGAAAATGCAACTTTATCGCTAAGCAATCTCTTCTAGAAAACCTATGGGTAGAGGACATTGAGAAAAAAATAATAATGGAGACGTGACACACTAATATATACAAACATATATATGTACACACACATTTACAAACTTAATAGCGCACATACAACAGGAGAGAATGACAAAGGATGATGAAGAGAGTACATGGAAAAATAATACCAAAGAGAGAAAGATAATAGGACTTAACAGAGGTTTTGAAGCTAGTGTGAGTTTTATATTGTATTTATTTTCTCAATAGAAACCAGTTATTTTTCATGACAAAAAAAAAATTAACAATATTGGGGTTCTTAAAAAAAGGGGGGTAAAGAGATTTTTTCAGGGTCGGCAACGCGAGCGTAATACTCCTGGCATTGCAGGCGTTCATAGGGTATGGTAACCGCTTACCATCAGGTGGGCCGTACGCTTGTTTGCCATCTCAGTGATATAAAAAAACCAATTTGAAATGTGACAAAATCTCTATGGGATCAATCTGTAAGCACATCCTTTCAGATAAAAAAAGTTCAAATTAGTTTACAACTTAAGGAGGTATAAGGTAACAAACAAAAAACCCGGCGTAGGTACGCACCTGATGTACGCCCAGAGGACGAGCGTGAGCAGCGCCAGTCCCATGACGAGGTTGCAGAGGTTGGCGAGCGGGTAGAGGCCGACGAGGCCGAACACGCCGCTGCCCACGTAGAAGAACAGCGCGATCGCGAAGAATACGGAAGGCGTGCGTGCCGCCTTGAAGATGTTCTTGCTCTCGTTGTGCGCGCGGAACTGCTGGTACGTCTCCTCCAGGTCCTGCGCGGACACACACACGCACGTGATAGCGTAATACGTAACGCGTGCAAGCGAGATAGTATAACATGCGGAGCGAGGGATTGTTCGTAATAGGACTAGCAGCTCCATAACTAGCCTAGCGTGGAGATCGATTTGATAGTCCTCCACGCGGTTCCCCCTGGAAGCCATCGTAGTCTATTCCTTATGTAATTGACACGCTCACATCCTCACCTATTATCCTTCGATGAAATGGCAACCCCGCCTGCGCTAACGGTATACGCTGGTGGAGCACCAGTGACGGATGATAGGTGAGAATAAATAGGCAGGCCAGTCCGCCCATTGTAACGAATACACCTGTGATTCAGCATGGTAGTTCCCAGAGGGAGCCACGTGAAGGTTGACCTGATAGGGTATATCATTATAACTTACAATCCCCCCCCCCCCACCAATATTGAACTGATTAATTGATTGCCTATGATATTGTAAGTATTCATAGGTAATGCTGTACGCATCATGCATCGTTTACCATCAACATAAGCATAAAGTTAGGAGAACCGAAAATAACCCACAATTGTGGGGGGAAAGGGATTGTTAGTAATGGAGACTGAGAATCTCATTGCTAGCAATATACCAGGTCGACCTCCTCGCGGTTCTCCCTGGAAACTATCATGGTTAATCCCTGATGAATTCATCATGATGGGCTAACTGGCCTGTTTTCATTCTCATCTATCACCCTTCACTGGTACCCCGCCAGCGTATCCCGTTAGCGCAGGCGGGGTTACCACACCATTTTCACCTATCAAAAAAAACCCACAATTGTAATGACAGACATTTGATAATACATATACTACTTAAGGGAGTTAAGTGACTAGGTCCTCTTTGGAACATACGCCACTACCTTCAAGCGTGCCATCTTTCCACTGCACTGTATTTAGTTGTATCAAACAGTATGGCGTAGTGACCTGTGTGAGCTGGTCGCAGTAGGCCTGGCTGAACTCGTCGCCGCCCATCTTGCGCTTGGCGTGGAAGGCGTGCAGCGCCTTGTCGCGGACTCGCGCGTGCTCGGCCTCCAGCAGCTGGCCCTGCAGGTACGGCTTCGCGCCGCCGCACACCTCCTCCATCAGCGTCGTGTACACCTCCTTCGCCTCCGCCACCGCCGTCAAGTTATTCGCCTCCGCTGTGGCCTAACGGCGAACATTTACTGTGAGTATGACACTCTCGACGTGGATTCAAAGCAAAAAAAAAAAAAAAAACAAAACAGAATCAAGTGTTTACAAGCAATTTTACCTGAGTAGGCATGGGTAATATTGGTACCTCTCCGATATCTATATATATTCAATAATGTTTTTTTTCTTACAACACAGGGGACAAACGAGCATGCGGCTCACCTGATGGTAAGTGACTACCGCCGCCCATGATCACCCACAACACCAGCGGCATTGCAGTGTGCTGCCGGCCTTTGAAAAAGGAATATACTCTTTTCTTGAAGGTTATGTTGTCGTATCGGTTCGGAAATACTGCTGCTGGAAGTTGATTCCAAAGAATGGTTGTGCGTGGGAGAAAGTGCCTTGAAAAACGCACGGTGGAGGACCGCCACACGTCCAGATGGTTGGGATGAAACATTAGTTTGTGGCGGGTTGTACGGTGGTGAAAATCAGCAGCAGGTATCAATCCGAACAATTCCTCAGAACTATATAAATATAATGAAATTATCTATAATTTATAACCTTACAAAGTATATCAAAATTGCTTTGTATACAATGGCTATACTGACCACAAGCATACTCTTGGGCTCGGGCAGCTCGTTGCCCTTGTATATGTTCATGTAGGACTTGAAGTACTGCACCAGGTCCTTGGCCTTCACCTTCTGCCCGTTGATCAGCTTGGGCACCAGGTTCTGCGGCGCCAGCAGCATCGGCACTAGCTGCTGCAGCGACCGCTTGAACTCCACTTCGATGTCTGACCAATGTTTACAAATTAGATAGAAAAAAGTTTTTCTGCAGAATGTTTCCGCTATCAAGCTAGGAAATGCTGGAATAATATACCACCACCAATAATATTGTCTAAAACTAAACATATATTTAAAAAAAGAGCTTAAAATGTTTTAAATTAAGAAACAAAAAATTGGCATACCTAATAGGTAAGTAGTAGAAATATTTATTACTTGAGCGCTTAATGTGATAGAAAGTGACCTCTGACTAACCCTCTTATAATGGTATCTGTTATTTATATATTTATTTAAAATAAAAACATTAAATGGTAACGAATGTAATAGACACAAACAATCTATTTCATTCATATTTCTTTTTTTATTATTATTTTTATTAAGGAATTTTGCGACTGGCTCTTGGCCACAACAGTATATCAGTGTTTTGCTCTTTTGAGGGCAAAATAATAAACGGAGTTGTGACCATTTTGTGTTGTTATGGCACACGCATGAAGGAAGACAACTGTTACTTGTTTTATATATTTTCCTTTTTTTGTATATGCATTATTTTATTTCTTTTTACTGTATGTGTGTTGTTATGTATACTGTAAGTAATGCAAATAAATTATCTATCTATCTATCTTCATACAATGAACGTATCTAATGACATCAGAAATCTTCTTAGTTCTTTTTTGAACTGTGTTAGGAAAAAAGAAGAAAAAACATAAAAAACTAACAGTTCTTCTGTTCTGCCTACCCCACCTGGGATTATAGAAGAGTCGAAGGCAAAATTATATTTCAATATAAAAATAAATATTGATAAAGGCTATATTATAACGTAATAAACTGTTGCCCACCTGCGAGTCTACCATCGAAGTGCGGGTTGGTGGCGACCTTGAGGCCGGGATGCGGCATCAGGAAGCACGCGATCTCGGAGAAGCACGACGTGATGTGCTTGCGCAGCGACTGCAGCTCCGGGTGCTGCTTGTCCGACAGCTGTGGCACAACAAAGTGTTACAGATCATTGGGACATATCAACGCTGGTAAGGCGCAGTATATTAAAGAGTTATGCATGTCTATTTTATATATTTTTGATTCTCCTGTAAAATTCAAAAATTCAATTTTGTCTTTTCAGCGTCAAATTGGCGCGTGGCGGTGTGATATCATGGTTATTGGGTATGTTTATGATTAATGGGTGAAAATGGAATGGTAATCCCGCCCGCGCTATCGGTATATACTGGCGGGGCACCAGAAAGAGAGGTGATAGATGTCCATCGAAACGAATTCAACAAGAAAACAAATAAAGTTGATGTACAGAGAAATCCACGCGGAGGTCTACCTGATAGGGTATATTAATAACAATAGGAGTGTTTTTTTTTAATGGGTGATAATGGAATTGTAGCCCCACCCGCGCTATCGGTATACACCGGCGGGGCACGAGTGAAGGATGATAGGTGAGGATGAAGCAGATCAATTAGCCCATCGTAACGAATTCAATAAGAATTGTTCACGATGATTTCCAGGGGGAACCACGTAGAAGTCGACCTAATAGCAAGGGGCTGTCAAACTCCATTACTAACAATCCCTTTCCCCCCAATGGGAGTATTTATCCCCATTACTAACAATCCCTCCCCCCCCGTGATGTAATGGTAGCAGTACATGTTGTTTTTCTATTTTTTTTTTAATAGGTAAAGATGCAGAGTGATAAATGGTCTACGTTATCAGTGCACACTGGCGTGGCACTAGTAAGAGATGATATGTGAGAATGAAAGCAGGTCAGTTGGCCTACCGGGACCAATGGCAACAAGAATTACTTACGGCGGTTTCCAGGGGAACCGTGGTCGACCTAATATGGAGATCGGGGGGAAAAAGGATTGTTAGTAATGAAAACTGAGAATCCCGTTAGCAATATACCCAACCAGGTCGACCTCCTCGCGGTTCTCCCTGGAAACTATCATTGTTAATTCCTGATGAATTCATCATGATGGGCTAACTGGCCTGTTTTCATTCTCATCTATCACCCTTCACTAGTGCTCCGCCAGCGTATTCCGTTAGCACAGGCGGGATTACCATACCATTTTCACCAAAAAAAAAAAAAAATGGAGGTCGTCCTGGGTGTTTTTTTTTACAACACATAGGGCAAACGAGCATGCGGCTCACCTGATAGTAAGTGACTACAGCCGCCCAAGATCACACACAACACTAACGGCATTGCAGGTGTGCTGCCGGGCTTTTAAAAAGGAATATACTCTTTTCTTGAAGGTTATGTTGTCGTATTGGTTCGGAAATACTGCTGCTGGAAGTGTATTGCTAGCGACGGACTTTCTATACACCGTTACTAATAATGTCTTTGGCTCCAGTGTGAGAGGTGATGGCAGTGTGGCGGGCGTACCTTGAGCCGGCGCTGCAGGATGGTCTGGCCGCCGGTGGCTCCGTACGGCGCCTCGTACGGGAAGCTCCAGTCGCGCACCAGGAACTGCAGCCGCTGGAACGGCGTGCGGCCGCTGTCCTCCAGCGCCAGCCGCCCGTACTCAGTGAACAGCTGGCGAGCAACCAACGTGTAAATATTACACACGGGCAGTGATGCACCGAGTCGACTTTTTCTTACATTCGTTATAAGAGAATCGTATATTAAAATATGTAGGAACTAGCTTATACACGCGTCTTTGTCCGTGCACGTTTATTAACAGGATTATAAAAAAGCTTATGTCGTAGGTATATATCAAATTTCATGACAATTGGTTGATCCATCAAAGGTACCAGAAAATACTAAACAAATACATTTTACACGGGATACACCTAGTATCACATTTGTAATACTAGGTGTATCCCGTGGCTTTACCCGCTGAGTCAGTATTATAATATAATAATATAATATTAGAATAGCAAACAAGCTGACGGCCCACCTAATGGAAAGTGGTAACCGTCGCCTATACACATGAGCAGTACCGTGGACATAACAGAGTATATTGTTTCGCCTATGATAACTCCCATGCGTTACCATTCCTGAGGACTTCCTTCAAACCGAAACACAGCCATGCAAACACAACTGCTTCACGGTAGAAACACGAATGGGACAGATGAGCCCAAGCAAACGACTTTTGTACAGTCTCCCTCTGGTACGAATTAACAGTTAAGCTATTCGTGTACTAAATGTCATTCAAATCTATTCCGTAGTTTTTGCGTTAAAGAGTAACACACATTCATTCGCATTTATAGTAGTAACAGGATTCGTAAAGATATATTATGATCAAGAATTCATGCATAGTGTACTTTTTTTTTATTGATGATAATGGTATGGTAACCCCATCTGCGCTATCGGTATACACTGCCGGGGCACCAGTGACAGATGACAGGTGAAGATGAAGCCGGCCAGTTAGCCCACCGTGACAAATTCAAAAACAAATCAATCACGATGGTTTTCTGGAGGAACCGCGAGGAGGTCGACCTGACAGGGTATATTGCCAGCAATGGGACAGGTAGCCTGTATTACTAACAATCCCTCCCCCCCTGCATAGTGTACTGTACGTGAGGATGGACAGCAGCGTCCCTCTTTAAACATCAACAAAGCCTAACTGCAGTTGCCAACTTCCTAATAGGGAGGATAATGGATTGTTAAAAATGGGGATTAGTAGCTCCATTATTAGCAATACACCCTGCCAGGTGGACCTCCTCGAGGTCCCCTCTGGAAACCATCGTGGTTAATTCTAGTGCAATTCATCACGATAGGCTAACTGACCTGCCTTTTCATTACCACCTATCATGCCTCACTGGTGCCCTGTCAGCGTATACCGTTAGCGCAGGTGAGGTTACTATTTCATTATCATCCATTAAAAAAAAATCTCCCCAATAAGGAGAGACCTATGTTCAGCAGACCTATGGACAGTTAACGGCTACAGTAAGCTACTGTACTGTACTGTACTGTACTGTGCATATGTCGTGTACGTACCTGCAAGTGCTGCAGGTCGTCCTCCTGTATATTCTGCGAGAGGTTGTATATCTGCACGGAGGAGAGCATGGTGGACAGGGCGAACACGGTGGCGCAGTCGCGCACCGTCGACTCGCTGTCGAACGCGCCCTGCGTGTCCAGCAGGATTATAGCCACCTGCCGACAAACAACACGTCGGATTATTAATAAAAAAAAATTCTAAGTAATCCCTAAAAGGGTATAAATAAGCCAAATGTATCTTTTTTTTTTTATACAACTTAAAATGGCAAACAAACTGACGGCCCACCTGATGGAAAGTGGTAACCGTCGCCTATAGACATGAGCAGTACCATGGACATAACAGAGTATACTATTTCACCCATGATACCCCCCATGCGTTGCCATTCCTGAGGACTTAGGTGTTATTCCTCTGTACCCAGTAAATTCACGCCATATCCCACCGTTCAAACCAAAACACAGCCATGCAAACACAACTGCTTCACGGTTGAAACACGAGTGACGATCTGTCGACTATTGCCCTTGTGGTGAACATAACATTCTATATGCTAGCATTTTACTTAACTAACTTAATAAATTTTGTATAACCCGCTGATGTAAATTTACTTATTACTTAATATTACGCCCTCAGCGTGAGCGACTTATCGAACTCGGCGGGTGATACACAGCAAATTCTGTCGGAATTCATGTAAGGTCTTTTAAAACACCTGAAAATCTAACCATGTAGGGGTGGCGCCGGCGACCTTTAAATACTTTTTATTTGCTCTTCTGGGGCCAAAGCTGAGTTGTGAAAATTTTGTGTTGCTATGGCACACGCACAAAAGGAAAAATTATGTTACTTATTTCATGTTATTTCCTTTTTTGTATATGTATTATTTTACTATTTATCTCTTTTTATTGTGTACATTACCTATGCCTATTGTTATTTGTGCGCTATAAGTATTTTTTTAACACAGGGGGCAAACAAGCTTACAATTCACCTGATGGTAAGTGACTACCGCCGTCCATGATCACCCGCAACACCAGACGCATTGCAGGTGTGCAAATAAATTATATATCTATCTATCTATGGCCCAAGTCAAAATAACAATCAGGATATATTGTTACTAAGTATATATTAATCCTGACCTTCTCTCCGTTGTCGAGGGTGGCCTTAAATATCTCGGACCACATGAGTATGCCGGTGGTGTCGCGCTCGGAGCCGCCGCGCCAGCTGAACCCCTGCAGTGGCTCGTCATCGCCTCCCAGCCAGTCGCCTCCACCGCCGCCGGCACCATACTGCAATCAACGAATAATAACATTAACTGTTTAAGAAGCTGCTTTTCATATTGGAGTCAGTAGAGGTATTTTTTTTATTTATAATGTATGATAATGAAATGGTAACCCCGCCCGGGGGGTTTCTACCATTCTACTATCATCCCTCCCCGGGTTGCCATTCTATTATCAGCACCCCGGATGAGCGTCCGGGTCGGACGTAATTTAAAGTGTCGGGCAGCTCGTGACGCAAGCATTGTGAAAAAAAAAATTCTAACTAATTATTAAAACAATTTGTAACAAACTGTAAAAAGATTTTGTTTTGTTAAGTACATTTAAAATGACGATAAAAAGGTGATTTATGACATTTTCAATGGGTCTTTTATTATACTGTTTTAAAAAAAAACTGTTGATATGTTCGAGTTCTGGGCTTTAAAATACCAGGTTTTTATGCGTATTGTCCTAGTTGCCAATTTTAGAGATGACAACACTAACTCGAGTGGGAAGAGGAATTGTTAGTAATAGGGTCTAACTGACCCATTGCCAGCAATGCACCCTATCAGGTCGACCTCCACGCGGTTCCACCTGGAAACTATCATGGTTAATTCCTGATGAATTCATCATGATGGGCTAACTGGCCTGTTTTCATTCTCATCTATCACCCTTCACTGGTGCCCCGCCAGCGTATACTGATAGCGTAGGCGGGGTAACCATTCCATTATCACCGATTAAAAAAACCACAACTCAATCGAATGCTTCATACACTTAGCCCTTTATGTTTATCGACTTTACATTTACTTTGTTTAAACGATGTTTCATTGCCAGCTTGACCTTACAAACGTACTATTGTATTTACTTGACTGCATCGTTGCAATGCACAATATTAATTTATAAACGACGCTAATGTTTGCACTCTTACTTTCACTACTTTATATTGAAGTCGTCGCTTGGCGGAGCGACGCTTAATTAATATGTGAATTTAATTTTTCTCTCTTTTAATAACGCAGTAGCAAATTATGACCTCAATTCATCACGTACAATCCGTCTGCCTGATGATGTCTCGATACGTAAAATTCTATACACTTTGTAAATATATAATAATATTAACTAATTGACATTTCTTTTTTATATGGTAAATTTACCATCATATCGGCCTTTAACCACTGCTGAACATACGCCTCTACCTGGAGGGAGGGGGGGGGGGAGAGGTTCTGTCAGTAGTTGCCACGCTCGGCAGGTGCATTGGTAACCGCAGAGACAAGATAGATAGATAATATATATGAAATGAAATGAAATGAAATGAAATGAAATGAATTTATTTTGCTAGAATGCAGGTAATTTTAGATGATAGAGGTTTATATTTCCCGTGTACATTCTGCCTCTATGTCGGCGTGCAAATTTTTAACAATATAATAAATTTATATATATATTCTACATTATATTTCCTTTCCTTAGTCATACAATACATTATTATTATTTATTACAGTAAACAGAAAAAATAAAAGCCTATACAATAGTTGTCCAAATTAATAAAATATTTTAACAACTGTATTTCTAGTGTAGGTTGTGAAGTGCATTTGTTTTTTTAGCGAAATATTCATTAATGGTATAAAACCCGTTACATAACAGCCAATTTTTAAGTTTACGTTTAAACACTGTATGAGCTGTTACTTCTCTAATGTTATTTGGTAGATGGTTGTAAACTTTAATAGCCATACAGTATGCGTTTCTTTTATGTAAATCTAACCTGCACTTTGGTACATATAATTTGTCGTTTGGTCTAGTTGTACGTGTTCTCGAGTCCGATATTCTTTTGAAAAAGCCAGCATGTTCCCTTACAAATATACACAAATCTCTAATGTACATACATGGCAGTGGAAGAATATTTAATTTCTTAAAAAGAGGGCGACAACTTTCTCTAATTTTTGCACCACATATAGCTTTAACACACCTCTTTTGCACAACAAATGCTCTGGAAATTTCTGCAGAGTTTCCCCATATTAGTAATCCATATGAAAGTATGGAGGATACGTATCCATGATAAGCACTCAGTGCAGCCTGTTCTGATACTGACAATCTTAATTTTCGTATCGCATGCACGAATCTATGGAGATTGTTACACAAGGCCTCTATATGGGCCTTCCAGTTACAATTTCTATCTATAATTATGCCTAAGAATCTGGTACTATCCACTAATTCCACTGATTGATTTTGGTAATTTATATTTATTTTTACAGATTTTGAATGATGTGTGCCAAAATGTATTATTTTGGTTTTATTTAAATTAACTTTTAAATTATTTTCTGTTAACCATTTTATAACATTTTGTAATGTGTCATTAATTTGTGTTTCTAAGTCATCTTTATTTTTACATTTTATTAATATAGTTGTATCGTCAGCATATAGTATACATTTATGTGTGATTATATTAGGCAAATCATTTATATAAGTCAAAAAAATATATGGTCCAAGAATGCTTCCTTGAGGAATTCCTACTTTATTTAATTTTGGGATAGATCTATAGATTTTTTTATAGCCATTAATAATTTTAAACGTCTCGGTACATTGTTTGCGATCTTGTAAATAGCTTTTTAGCCAACTATGTGCATTTCCTCTTATTCCGTATTTATATAATTTGTTTAATGCTATATTATGATCTAAATAGTCAAAAGCTTTAGTCATATCCAAAAATATTGCAGCTACGTGCTCCCTATTATTCAATCCCTCCGTTACAGATTTTATTAAATCGAAACAAGCCAAAGATGTTGAGCTATTTTTCCTAAATCCATATTGTTCTTGTTTTAAGATATTATTTTTAGTCATAAAGTCATTGAGCCTTTTTAACATAGCTCTCTCAAATATTTTAGAAATTACTGGGATAAGTGCAATAGGCCTATAATTACTCATATCACTTACATCCTCTTTTTTATGTAATGGCTTTATTATAGACATTTTTAGACTATCTGGAAAACAGCCTTGTTCAAACGACATATTAATAATGTAGGATAATGGTTTACACAAGTGAATAGAGCATGTTTTTAAAATTTTTGTGCTAATTGAATCATAACCTACTGAGTTTGTATTTTTTAATGTCTTTATAATATCCATAACTTCTATATCGCTACTAGGTGTCAAAAATATTGTTTTGGCATTATCATTCATACTGATATTATGGGTATAATTAGATTTTAATGTCGATTTTTTATTTATTGAATTTACGAAATAATCATTGAATAGATTGCATATTATATTTGGATCATTATGTATTATATTATCTATTTTAATCATATCAATTTGTCTATTTTCAGCTTCATTATTAATGTTATTATTAATTAATTTCCATATAGCTTTTCCTTTATTTTTGCTTTTTTCTATATATTTGTTGCATTGTATTTGTTGTGAAGTATTAATACATTTTTGTAAAATTTTACTATAGGTCTTATAAATTTTCGCATTTACTTTTTTATTGTGATTAGCATGTTTAAATTTTAAATAGTATATTCTCTTTTTGAGACAACTCTTTTTTATTCCTTTAGATAACCATATAGATTTCTGATTATTAGATTTTAATTTAATTTTAATTATCGGAAAGCACAAATTATAAAATAACAATAGCAGATTATGAAATGCATCGAATGCTTTATTCACAGTAACTTGCTCGTACAATTCACTGAAGCTCAATTGCCTCATGCTTTCACAAAATTTATTAATATTCAGTTTACTATAATCCCTACGATATTCTGTCCAGGACGTGCTACTTTTTCTTTTATTTATTTTTAGTGTGATAGTTTGTGCAGTTTCGTGATCAGATAACCCTAAGTAGTAAAGCTTAGCATTCACATTTTTTATGTTGCTTGCGATTTGGTCAATACAGGATTGTTGTCTTGTTGGATATTTTATATGTATTTCAAAATTATAACTTTTTAGTACACTTATTAATTCGTTAGATGTTTTATTTTTTTTAAGGTGTCAATGTTCCAGTCCCCACAAAGAATAATTTTTCTATTTTTATATTTTTTTGTTACTAAATCTAATAATTCTTCTAATCTATTCATAAATATTGACGTATCCCTTCCTGGTATTCTATAAATACAAATGACAATTATGTTACAGGATATGATATCAATCCCGGAACACTCAAATAGAAATTTTTGTGATAATTGTCCTAAAGCAGAAATTTGTTTAAATTCTAGTCCTTTTTTTATCAAAATACAGCTACCTCCTCGTTTGGTATCTCGAGAAAACGAAGACGCTAATTTATAGTTGGGGATCTTTAATAAATTTTCAGTGCCCTTTCTAATAAATGTTTCACTAAGACACACTACATCAACATCCAACCTTTCATTTTTTGTTAAGTCCGTCAAGGCTATTTCTAATAGTTCCGATTTATTTAAAACGCCCGCTATATTTTGATGTAATAATGTGAAATTACTAATTTTGTCAGGGGCTTTAGTTTTATAGTTCACGAAAAAGCGTAGTTTGTGCGTTTTGTATTTCTATAATTTCGTCAGTTTGGGTACCTTTTTCTAATAAATTTGAGGAAATTATTTTTGAATTCAATACTTGATTTCTATATTTGGAATATTTTATTTTATGGTCTATGCGTAAGACTTCTCTGAGCATTAATTGACATAGGTGTAGTGCAAAAGAACTGCGTCTAGGTCTTTCATAATGATAGTGCATATCAACAAAAGTAGTGTTGTCATATTTAGTACATATAAACTTTAGCTCGTAATTTATTTTTCTTTCGTTTAAATAATAATTATATGGTATTTCGGAAATCAAAATGTTAGTATTAGATATAGATTCAATCCACTTATTTATATACATTTGAAACTCGTAGGGATTTCTGTCATTAGTTCCACCAAGTACTATCACAAAATCATTTTTATTCAACTCGCCAATAGACTTTTTTTCCGACAAGAGAACCTCTTGTAGTTTAGCTCGGGTTTCCAGAAACAACTAACAATATACTCCTTTCCGACTAATTTTTGAAGATGTTTCTGTACATTCCTTCCTTGATCATCTGCTATAACAATAATTTTCCTTTTCAAATTATGTTCTTTCGCTTCAATTCTGTATTTCTGGCTGTCATTTGGTTTTTCTTCTTTTTCTACATTTATTAATGTTAGTTGTGAATTCATTTTGTCTTCAATAGCTTGTTCTGGGTGGTCAGGTATAAACATCTGTTGATCTTTATTTAAATTCTTAGATTGTGGACTTTGATCTAAAGTAGAACTACTTAATAATAATGACTTTGCTAGAGTGGCCGGTTTGTTTTTAATAGGATTTCTTTTCTTTCGTCCTGATAAAGGAGTTGCCGGAGATAAATGCACTTTCTTTAAAGATTCTACTAATTTGCAGCTTTTGTCGAGGTCTGATTTTAATTTAAAATTTTCAGTATTTAAATTTTCTATTTCTTGGTGAGCGATCTCTAATTCACTTGTAAGGTCTTTTATTTTTTGTGTTCATTCTGCATGAATTTGACTCTCACTGAATGATGTGTTATTAGGTAAACTCATCATAGTTGAATTAAATATAGAGGAATGAGAGTCTGAAATATTATGCAATGAACTCGATCGTGTCGGTTTTCGGTAAGTTACATTTTCATATGCCATTGTCTTCTTTATATAAAATCGGGCAATAAATCAATTAAAAAAAAAAAATACAATTAAATAATAAAATGTCAAAATTAAATAAAAGTTTCTGCTCTTCACTAAAAATGATCTTCCTTAAAAAAAATGTCATAAAATGTTTATCTATGTCTTCTAGAATTAAATAATAATATTAATCCACACTCTAATTTATTATAAAAAAAAAAAAAGAACGAAAAATAAACTTTATGTTCGCCTGAGATTTGAAACATCAACCTTCGGGGCACAAGTCGTTCAGCGTTGCCGCCAGACCAAGTAACTTGTTGCGTCTTAGTGTGAAACATTCAATTATAATCTTTGCTAATTGACAGTTGATGTTCATAAAAATCTTAAATTATTGGAGGTGTTTGAATTTATTGCTTATCCGCTTTGACCTTCAACCGTCACTTGCACTTGTTATTACTATATATGGAATATTTATTAATAGTTCTCTTCAATATCGCTTGTATTGTTGTTAGTAAGAATATATTCATTGCACTGTTGTCATCTTATTATTGTTGATTTTTATTAATGTGGTTTACAATCATTACTTGATTTTTATAACAACCAGATCGAACTTAAATTTTACTTATATGTTTTCTTCAGTTTGGCTGAATAATTTTTATTACAAACACGAACACAGGATATTTAATCACTAACACACAGTTTAATCACGTGTAATTTAGGTATATTCTAAATTTTCTATTTTTATTAATAAAATATACATGAACTAGATTATACCGCTAGTGCAGTCGGTGTTGCCATCCATATAGATAGATAATAAATAGATCTTAGATAACATAAGATAAATGCTGCTGCCCATCCCTCGCCGTCCCTTAGTCACCTCTTACGACACCCACGGGAAAGGAAGGGGTGGCCTATTCTATGCCACGACCACACGACCAATGGTACGTTCCATTGGACAAAAACGAATCCATTAATTTCTAGAATGTTCTTTTCTTCGATTATTTATACAATCACAGTGGTTTTAAGACTATATTAAAAATCAAATGTAGAGAGAAATCAGTAGCGTCTTTCTCTAAAGATGCTACTGATTCTCTCTTATACTGATTACACAGATCAGGACATATCCTATCAGAATAGAGGGTTAAAGTTTTTTGTTTTTTGATCTTATCCAGAGCGAGATTTAGAAAATTTGTCAATCCTTTCCAGAGGGAGACTTATATATACTGCTCATATCTATAGACGACGGTTACCACTTTCCAACAGGTGGGCCGTCAGCTTGTTTGCCATTTTAAGTTGTATAAAAAAAATATCGCGATTGTTCAAATTTACTAATAGAATTCTCCTTTAAACGAATCTTTCTCATCTTCCTACCCTTATCCCAATTATTATTTGGGGTCGACGTAATATATTTTTATCCATTTTACAAAAATATTTGGCTTTTAGTTTCACGACCGGCCGCCTGATCACTGATAAAATCAAATCTCCTTTTAACGGATGCTAGTTAAAATATATAGATTAGTAATAGTTACTAGATAGACCAAGTGACTAGAGTTTTTCCTTATCTATCTTCTCTAACTACTTCGAAAAACGTATACCGATAGCGCAGGCGCGGTCACCATTCCATTTTCAAACAATTACAATAATTTACACGCAAAAGACATACGTATAGTTACGGTATCTATTAAAACTGTATCCTTGTTGTTCCTACAGGTTCTATATCCTTCCTTCCCGTTTCCTACAGGACAGGTTAAGCCTAGTGTAGGAATCAATGTCAAACTTTGTGCTTTTAAAAACATACTTAAGTAATAAATAAATTTTTACTTTTACTTTGTTTTGTACGGTACTAACCTTGTGGTGCATATATCTGAGGAAGAAGTCGAGCAGGAAGGACTTGCCCTTGCGGAAGGCGCCCGCGACGGACAGCACCACGACGGCGCGGTCCCGCACGTCCTCGCGCAGCAGCAGCGCGCTCAGCGCATCCTCGTCCAGCAAGAACGTGTGGTCAGGCCCCGTGTTCACCACCTGCACGCCGCGGTGGCCCGCGCGGGGCGCCGGCGCCGGCTTCTCTGTTACCGCTGCCAAACAACAATTGCAATGCCTATATATTTAATTATATAACTACATAGCGTATTTACATATGTCCCCAGGTTGGGAAGTTCTGGACAGTAGTTCAACAATTTCCAACGTACTCAAAAATTCTATATTTAACTTTCCTATTTACGAACACTATGTATTGGGGGGAAAAGGGACGATTAGTATGAGATCTAACAAGCTCATTACTGACATCTCTACTCATCATCATACTCTAACAGGTCGACCTCCACGTGGTTCCCCCTGGAAACCAACTTGGTTATTTTTAGATGAATTCATGACGATGGACAAACTGACCTGCATCATCCTCATTTGTCACCCCTCACTGGTGCCCCGCCAGTGTATACCGATAGCACTGGCGGGCTTACCATTCCATTTTCATCTATTGACCAACACTAGGTATTAAAAACAGGGATACCTTGCTCGAAGCATCAAATAGACAAAAATCTTAAAAAATTAAAATTTACAATGTTATATATAAAAAAAAAAGTATTACTGCCTATCTGTTTGCTAGTTAAGAACGAAAATCATTTATCTTCTTTGTACATAAAGAATAAACAACGATCAGCAAGTCTACTCTTGAATCCAATAATGATATCAAACCAATCTATTGCCCAGTGACAATTTTACATTGCGCTCATGAAACAACAGTTAGGTATTAGGTGTGGAATCGATTTGCATTCACAATTTACACTAACATGCATCTATCAGAACAATATAAAGCCATTATGTCGCTAGTGTTGCAATTCGAGAGTGTGAAACATCTTAATTTTTTATTTTTTTATACAACTTAGAATATACAAGCTGACGACCCACCTGATGGAAACTGGTAACCGTCGCCTATAGACATGAGCAGTGCCATGGACATAACAGAGTATACTGTTTCGCCCATGATACCCCCCCTATGCGTTGCCATTCCTGAGGACTCGGATGTTATTCCTCAGTACCCTGTAAATTCACGCCATATCCCACCCCTCAAACCGAAACACAGCCGTGCAAACACAACTGCTTCACGGTTGAAACAATATAGATGTACTGGTATTTATTTCAAGAGTAACCCCACAGGTCAGCTATATAGGCGATACGATATAACCGATTAAAAGAATCGATTACCGAGTACAACAAACTATAAACAATGACTATTTGCTTTTTTAAACTTGGCACAGTTAGTTTACAACATTCAGAAAACTAGCCACGTCATGTTTTTGACAAAACAGCGCGTAAAATAATTGAATAGATAAAAAATAAATGATTTTAGATTAATACAGTAAGTATTAATAAATAATGTATTTAAATATTAATTTAGAAATTTATAAATGATTATATTTTTAACTTTTTCTTTTTGAGTATTTAATTGAATTAGTGCTAATTGGTGGTTTGTATTCACACACTTAAACTTAAAAATGTAAAGTAATAATAAAATTATTTAAAAGAGCAACACGCAAGTTTCTTGCTCGTTCTTCTTGTGATGAGACAGCTTTCCGAACGAGCGGTAGATTAAAAAAAATGTAATGACTATTCAAAAGTGCTTCAATGTAAGTTTATTTGAATAAATTATTTTCTATTCTATTCTATTCTTATTCTATTCTTTTATTCCAATAAGGTGATACGCTTTCACTTAATCGGCAAAGTATAAAAGAAACTGATTGTTATAAAAAATCGAAAAGTTATATCGAATCAACTAAGTTACTATCAGAAACAGACTTTTGTACAAAGTCATTGATATGTGTACCTCTCCAACTCATAGGGAGGAGGAGGAAAGGGAAGGGATTAATAGTAATGGGGAGGTTAGTCGCCATTGCTATCGAATCAATTAAGTTACTATCAGAAGCAGACTTTTATACAAAATCATTGACATGTGTACCTCTCTAACTCATACGTGAAGAGGGAAGAGATTGTTAGTAATGGGGAGATTAGTCCCCATTGCTATCAATATACTCTATCAGGTCAACCTCCACACGGTTCCCCTGGAAACCATCTTGACTAATTTATCGTTGAATTCGTCACGATGGGCTAACTGACCTGCCTTCATCCTCACCTATCATCTATAACTGGTGCCACGCCAGCGTATACCTATTGCGCAGGCGGGGATATAGTTTCATTAACATTTATTTATTCATTAGTACATATATGTGTACATGGCGGACTTAATGCTAAAAGCATTCTCTCCCAGTCAACCATAGGGAAGTGTCAGAATACTCGAATGCGGTACTACTAATTATTGATATACATACATACTAAAATTACATATATAAACGAATAAATATATATGAATAACAAATATACTTACACATATATGACATATACTATATTATACACGAAATTGAGAATAATATAAAGTACCAGAGAGAGACTTTGTACAAAACGACTTTTGTACAAAGTCTCCCCCTGGTGAATTATCTACTATTACAGTATGGAGTTTTTCAAAATGGGTATATTACTGACGAAGTTACGAGGTAACGAACAAAAAAAAAATAACAACCGAATCGAGAACTTCCTATTTCTTGAAGTCGGTTGAAAACGCGGATAATCTGTAGCGTGAGGCTCGTGTGGGTATCAAATTAATTCTGATAATCACGACTGAGGATTATCAAGTAATACATACAGACAAATTTGTCACAAACAAACATACAACGATAAATATTATATGATAACGTGATATCTAATCTAAGAAAAATAATTAATACGTAGAAGTAAACACCAAGTTATATACAATTCAATTCAATCATTTATTGCTATTTTATGTTTTGTTTTTTGATGGGTGAAAATGGTGTGGTAACCCCGCCTGCGCTAACGGGATACGCTGGCGGAGCACCAGTGAAGGGTGATAGATGAGAATGTTAACAGGCCAGTTAGCCCATCATGATGAATTCATCAGGAATTAACCATGATAGTTTCCAGGGGGAACCGCGAGGAGGTCGACCTGGTTGGGTATATTGCTAGCAATGGTATTCTCAGTCTCCATTACTAACAATCGTTTTCCGCCCCGCTATTTCATGTTGTAACAATATAGGTCTTAAGTTATTAAACGTAAAGAATCGACAAGAACCCTGGAAGGGGACAGCAATCACATTAATAAATATTTCATAAAGTACATAACTACATTTTTATATTATATATACATATGTATAGTCGATTAACATGAAATAAATAAAACATTATTACATTGAAACAAATAGGTACAAATACAATTAAATTTTCTCATTGAAAAATTTCTGTAGTGTACTTTTTGTAATTAAATATTTTTAGAGCTATTTTAAACTTTTTAGAATCATCCTCACTTTTTAAGTTAATTGGTATTTTATTGTAAAATTTTATCGACATTGCGTTGATATACACAATTTTTTTTTTTTTACAACACAGGGGGCAAACGAGCATGCGGCTCACCTGATGGTAAGTGACTACCGCCGCCCATGGTGACCCACAACACCTACGGCGTTGCAGGTGTGTTGCCGGCCTTTTAAAAAGGAATATGCTCTTTTCTTGAAGGTTATGTTGTCGTATCGGTTCGGAAATACTGCTGCTGGAAGTTGATTCCAAAGAGTGGTTGTGCGTGGGAGAAAGTGCATTGAAAAACGCGCGGTGGAGGACCGCCACTCGTCCAGATGGTTGGGATGAAATTTTAGTTTGTGGCGGGTTGTACGATGGTGAAAATCAGCAGCAGGTATCAATCCGAACAATTCTTCAGAGCACTCCCCATGATAAATTCGGTAGAATTATGTACATATTCGTATGCTAATAGCAAACCAAATAACAGTCATCAGCGCGCACAGTCAACGAACTTGAACTAAATCGCTACAGTGAAAATGATTTACATATACGAAGGTAGAAAATTGTTTAGGGTCGTGATTTGAATAGGATTTTACACTTTCTACAGAGAAAAATTAAAAATTATATACAATTAACGCTCTATATAAGCAACCTGTCTATAAGCAACATTCTTTATATTTTATTTATTCTATTCAACTTAGTAAAAGAAATAATTAAAAATATTTTCCAGACGGTAATTAGTTTTATACTCCGTTTTTCGCTGTAAGCAATTTTTCCCAATAAGATTTTTTTTTATTGAAATTGGTTCAAATGAGTTGTATGTACATAAACATTTAGGCTGTATACTGCAGCTTCGTCTGCCTGAATCAGCATATAAATTATGCTAAGTTTTGAGTTAGGATATGACCTATTCATGTCCCACATTTAATTTTTTTATGCAATTAAGCTAACGGTCCACCAGTAACTGTCACCTATACGAATAAAAAATACCATAGACGTAACAGAGTATGCTGTGTCGCCCATGATACCCCTCATGCGTCGCCATTCCTGAGCACTAGTTTGAAATTTGTTAAAATAAATATATAAATATGTTGCATTTTTTTTGCAACTTAGAAAAACGAGCTGATGGCCCACCTGATGGAAAGTGGTAACCGTCGCCTATAGTCATGAGCAGTACCATGTATATAACAGAGTATACTGTTTCGCCCATGATACCCCCTCTACCATGATATTTCTCTGTATCCTGAAAATTCACTGCCGTATCCCACCCTTCAAGCCGAAACACAGTCATACAAACACAACTGCTTCACGGTAGAAACACGAATGGGACAGAGGTACCCAAGCAATCGACTTTTGTACAAAGTCTCCCAAAAATATATAATGATATACAGATACACGCGAGCAGAGACGCGGGAAACAGTTAATATTCCGTACATGTAGAGAACAAACAATTGTCCGGTAGTTACACGAACTAATGTACTAAAAGCGCTTTCTATTCGTACTTATATCATATTAAGATTCTAACAACTTTAGCGTTTACGTCTAAAACAGCCTCACATTGGATCATAAACATTTCTTTAGTGAAAGTTGCAGAACAACACTGCCAGTACTAAATTAATAATTTTTACTTATGTATTTAATAGTATTTTATACATAATTAATATTATCTCTATCTCTGCAATAAGGATTTTTAATTAAAAATTAGCATGTGGTC